GAATATTCCGGTTATTATCGATTTATTTATTCGTCGCATTTTCTCACGAATTTCAAATCGCGATTTATTTTGTAATTTAAATGTTGATTTACATCAAAGTTCTATTTTTTCACATTTTGAATATTTCATTTGGTAATCTCTTCTAATCTCTACTCTAATAATACTACTAATCATTTATATATATATATATATATATATATATATATATATATATATGTGTGTGTGTGTGTGTGTGTGTGTGTGTGTGTGTGTGTGTGTGTATTTTTCATTGATAAAATAATGAAATTATTTGATGGGCGTACAATAAAAGTTTCATTTGATAGAAATAATAATTTTCTAAAAATTTTACACAGGGTGTATCAGACCACCCATTCCAGCCGAATATCTCAAAAACCGAGAATGGCAGACAAAAATATTTCCTACAAATGTTGTAGTGTTTCGAGTAACGCATTACATAATAATATTAGTATGATCTTGAATAGCGTTGTCAAGATTATGTAAAGATCACCTTTAATTTCTTAAATGGAATCTCCCATTTTTCATTACATATCCTTGTAGCTTATCTCGAGCTTTCCAAAACACTTTAATAAAATATTTTTTCATTGAGTACTTTTTGAATTATGAGGTTTGAAATCATTTCTTATTTTTACATGAACCGTAATATATCTAATAAAATATTCATTTTTCGATTATCTTGCCTTAATACTTTTATGTACAAAATAATGAGAGAAATCAATTGGTGTAAAAAACACATCATACACATCACACAATCAAGTTGCGACGCAGAAATCGCAAAGAATATATTAAGAATATATTCTCATTTATTAAGAATATATTCTTATTCATTAGAAATATTTGTTAAGAGAACTTATAAAGTATATATTTCAGGAATACAATTTTTCGGTGTATCGAATTGATCCCTTGACTATCAATTATATATTTTCTGAACTAATTTGGGATGTAATGAGGAACACAAAAAGATATCTTTAAAATATCTCTTATACCCACGTAGGACTACCTTATGAGATACAAAAAACATCCTGTGCTGTTTGGATTATAATCCTGAAAACGTCTTGTGGTGTCTTGCGCTGTCTAGATAAGAAACACAAAAGGATATCCTTAAAATATTTTTTAGTTGTGCAGGACTCTCTGAAGAGATCCAAAAAATTTCCGTTGGGCATCGCAGCGTTGGCAATTACTGCTGAGTTTGAGACGCCGATTTATTTGGCGAAAGATTCCTCCTCGTTCTCTTCTCGATATGCTCCGACGGGTTGCCCAATCACAAAATGATATAAAAAGAATAATAATTAAGGACGCGAAATGACAATTATCGGTTATCTCTCCGGAGATCTCGATTCGGGTCTCGCAAATTTTTATTCGGCGCGGCCGCTCGGTTAAGATTTTCGGGACGGATGGACGCGCGTCGGGACGGCAACGTCACGATATATATAAATATATTTTATATATCATTTTATATAATTATATGTATATGTAAACTTTTTTCCTGAGTAAGAATATTATTATTCTTTATATTTAAAAAGATAATACTTATATCTCGTAAAACATATATTAATCATACTCAGGAATTTACAATATCTATTGTATATGCGGTTTACTTATAAATATAAACATTAAAATTAACAATTAATATTCTATGTGCAATTTACTTACGTAAATCATTTTTATTATAATATGTTCGCAAGTTTCTTGCATTTGATGTTATAATAAAAAATAATCGAAAAGTCATCTATTCTTAAAATTATCTTGCCTATCTTAAACAGAATGCAGTTCTTATTTATGATTTAAATATATGTTATTTTCATATAAATCGTTTTAAAGTTCGAAAATACTTATGCAGCAATTATTGACACAGGTGTTATTCTTGTAGAATTGCAGGAAACAAGGACGGGAATTGTCATAGCAATATCAACTTGTGATACATTTCTCGACATTTTAAAAAACTCATGTTTGTTAATAATTTTACTATACTAGACTCATCTATGTCAATAATTTAACTAAATTCAAAATTGATAAGAAAAATATGCACTTTTAAAACTGTATGAAAGTATTAATACATACAAGGATATTGTAAAAAAATTATTCTTAATATAAAAATTATCGTAATTGCTGAATTATCTATACTTGGTTACAGGAAAAATATGTTGGCAAATAGAAATTCTAGCTGGCTCAATGTTACTGGATCATCGTATAACATCGATACTGCATGTAGCTTGACTCATTTCGCTATGGTGGAAGCTTACAATTTGATTTGATCTAGAATTTGCGACGCAGCTATTGTCGCTAGAATCAATTTGTGCATTCATCCTTTTGTAACTTATCAGTTTTATCGTTTGGGTATGAGAAAAACAATATTATGTTCAAAGATGTTGTATTCGAGATTATTAAATGGTATAACTTATTTATCGATGCATTAATTAACACAATATTTGATCTAATAGTTTCTCTTTTCAGAATATATTAATATAACTGATTCGCCTACTTAATATACTTATCAAAGTTTTCAAATATTTTAAATATTTTACATATTTCTCAAAATTTTCGCCAAACTATAACTTATTTGCTTATTTTACATTTATCAAATTTTTCAAATATTTGATATATTATTTAAGAAACCGAGAATAAAAAATTAAATTATATTTTTTATATTCAATCAAAATAAATTATTGATATTATTTTAGGAAATTTATCCGGCGATGGCTACTGTAAACCTTACGATGAAGAAGGTGCCGATTATATGCATAAAGATGCGACTGCAGTAGTGTATCTGTAAAAAGCAGAGGATGTAAGAAGAATCTATGCAACTTTTGTTTATGGTAAAACCAACTGCGATGGTTTTAAAGAAGAAGGAATTACTTTTCCATCATTAGATAAACAAAAAATATTATTGGAAGAATTTTACAAAGAATGTAACGTTTCGCCTCTTGAGCTATCTTACCTAGAAGCTCATGCAACTGGCACTCTAGGCGGGGACCTTCAAGCAGTCGACGAAACTTTATGTTCTCTTCACAGGATATGCGATGTTGTTTCCATGGATGGATTCTGTCGCTCGTTGATCAAATGGGCATATAGACATGTCCAACTTGCTTTCATATACATTCCTATCTTTTCTGGATCCCTATCTTTACATGATTTTATTAGGATATATTTAATGTTTCTTTTCTATGTATATATATGCAAATTATCTTAAAATCATCGGTGTTCGCTAATTATCCTCTACCCCTTCCTTCTCTTCGATTATTCCACGAAAAGAATTTTTATTAAAATTTTTACTTATAAGAGAACTAAATATTTTCAATATTATTTATAATTTATTAATATTAATTACTTACCGTAATGTATGAAATAAGTAATACATATGTACATAAAAAACGATAAAATAAAATTCAGTATATCTATGTTATAGCCTCTGTATTTTTATATTAAAATTGTTTACTCTATTTTATTCTAGAACACATATAAAATATCATTATGCGCAAACTGCAGCTTTATTGCATAAATTTAATACTTATATATGATATATAAATATATCTCTGCGTGCGTTTTGTAATATTCTAGTTTATATATAAAATATGTATAAGATATAAATTTATATTTTATATTGATCATTTTTCATACTAGTTTGAACAAAAAGTGCATCTTTCATCCAAATAATAGAACACCCTTAAAAATAACAACCAACGCGCGGTAGTACAACAAAAAGCAAACGTTTCGCATTGTAGTAATATGAGTATTTTAATAAATTAATATTGAAAAAAGAAAGAAGTGTTGTTGCTTCTCTGCGCTCCAACTACTGCGCGTTGGTTCTTTTGCCATTTTCTTTTTAATATTTTATATTGTTCATTTTTCACGCCAGTGTGAACAAAAAGTGCGCCTTTCATCAATCCAAATAATAGAGCACACTTAAAACGTAATAAGTATAAAATAATATTACAATGTAATAAAATAAATATAAAATAATATTACAATTGTACTGCGATATTTATTTTGATCTAATTAAATATTCACAATTCTCCGATAATGTTCCGATGAACTTTGAATTTATGTATAATATATTGATTTAAATATGAAACGTATAATTTAATTGCATAAGTTTAACTTGAAAAAGACAAATACTGTTAAGTTTAATACTATAATATATGTATATAAGTGGTGTCTGGTAATAACCTAATCACGTCTCATCTGCAGGTGGAGTAGTTTTGGACAGAACAGGAATAATTTCCGTACGATTAAACACTGGAATTAATAATCAAACAATGAATACTCAATTAATAATAAAAATTAAATTATGTAGTTGCGTTTAGGAATTGCGTAACATCTCTTAAAATATCTCTCCTCGTCGCGCATCTATTCCCACGTAGATTTTTGTTAATTAATTTCTCATTAATTATTTATGTATGAAAATTGCACAAAACGGTAGAGTACTTTCTTATTTGATTTAATCCACTCTATCTGCACATGAAAGGTGATATGATTGTTATCAGACATGTATGTGTACAAATAGATTTATCTTTTGCATTAAATGTTAATTCAATATTTATGGTAGAAAATTAATTTTGACTGCTGCGAATTTTAAAAATGTATTTTACTTTTTAAATCATTTTTTAAAATTCTATTATTATTTATAGATATGTTTATATACTTTTAATACATTACATTTTACAACTGTCCATATGAATTTGAATATAAAATTCATCTCGCATTCGAATATATTTTCTAAAAGCCGTAAATTAATACAACGCAATAATCGCAATAGTATGTTTTTTAAATCGCGTTTAAAACGCTAACGCATTTTAAACTATATGCATACTTCTATTTTGTGCATCCGTTGAACTTTGTGATATAATACGCACGTGGAGAACATTTTAATTGTAAAATTATGCTGATTACAATCTACACGGTTTCCGGTCATATTATTAGGATTATAAAGCTTATATATTGAATGATTATCACACAGTGATTCACATCTGATTTAATAGTAAGACACGTTTGGTCTGTGATGTGAGATAGCCATTGTAACTGTCAGTTTTATAAAGTTGTGTTTTTATTAGAGTCATTGCGCGCTGCTGGTTTCATAAAAAAATTTTTTTTAATCTTTGAATGTGGTGAATACAAATTCTTCTTGCTCTTTACTATATATATTGTTTTCAATTGTTAAGTAAATTGTTTCAAAGATTATTTCTATATGCGAGTTATAAATTTCATTCTGTCTTCCTAATTATACATATATAAATTTGAAATAAAATTCTAATATCTTTTTTCAGAATTCTTAGAATTTTAAAAAAATGAATAATAATAATCCGTTCAATCCATATGTCAGTGTTGATGAGGAGGAAGAAATAGTTATCTCTGGTATCGCTGGACAATTTCCTAATTCGGATAATATAAAAGAATTTCAGGACAATCTTTTCAATAAAATGGATCTCGGTTCGGAGGATCATCAACGCTGGACCAATTGTAATGATATATTTTTTCAAATTTTTTTCTGTCTCAGAAAAAAAGTCTACACATAATATATAATAAATAAGATAAATTAAAGTCTATATAAAATATATTGATCTAATTTTTATTATCTTGTAAATCTCTATTTCTATATACAAAAATGAAAAATAATTTAAAAAATAATTATAATTTTTACATAAAAAATAAACAAAATTAAAAGAATTGAAGAAAAATGATCTATATATAACTATATAAAAAGAAAAAGTTGACTATATATGTGGGTATTTTTTTTTATATCTCTTTCTGCAAATTACATTTTTTTGAAAGAAACAATGAAAAAATTATAATATAATTATTCATCGATTATTTTTTTTATTATTTTTTCTATATATATATACAGACAGCGATTAGACAAGAGTAAGAAAACATAAATATACAGGATGTTTCATTTGCCTGAAGTTAACTTCTCCAGGCAAATATTTCGGAAAATTACGAAAATTCGAAAAAATGTTGTATGGTTTTAAGGGGGACATAAGATAGTGCCATTAGTTTGATCTTGAAGAGTCATCTGTCACGTGAAGGTCACGTGAAGGTCATGTCCAACTTTTTATATGGGACACTATATAATTTTGCATATCTTTGTAGCTTACATCAAGAGCTTTCCAAAACATTACAATAAAGTATTTCTTCATTATGTACTTTTCGAGTTATGAGGCTTGAAATAATTTCTTAATTTTACATAAACCATAAAATATGTAGTAAAATATTTATTTTTCGATTATCTTACCTCAATACTTTTATGTAACAAAATAATGAGAGGAATCAATTGATGTAAAGAAAAAACACAGTTGTTTTTAAGAAAAAATATGTAATTGCTAATTACATATTTTTTCTTCGAAACAATTATGTATTTTCTTTACACCAATTGATTCCTCTCATTATTTTGTACATAAAAGTATAAAGGTAAGATAATCGAAAAATGAATATTTTACAGATATTTTATGGTTTATGTAAAATTAAGATATTTTAAGCCTCATAACTCGAAAAGTACTCAAGTAATACTTTGTTATAGTGTTTCAGAAAGCTCTTGAGATAATATATAAGAATAAATAATAAAAAATAGAGAGTTCTATTTAAAAAATTGAAAATATCCTTTACGTGACCTTCAAACGACTTTTCAAGGTCAAATTAATGGCAACATCTTATGGCCCCCTTTAAGCCATACAACTTTTGTCTGAAACATTTCTTTCTAAAATGCGTAATTTATGAAATATTCGACCATTTCCAGACTCTTGGTACACCCTGTATATATAATTTTATATAATTATATTTTATATAATTATATGTATATGTAAACCTTTTTTCCTGGAGAATATTATTGTTGTTTATATTTAAAAAGATAATACTTATATCTCATAAAATATATATTAATGATATTCAGGAATTTACAATATCTATATGCGGTTTACTTATAAATATAACATTAAAATTGACAATTAATATTATATGTGCAATTTATACTTGCATAAATCATTTTTATTATAACATATTCGAAAATTTCTTGCTGTTTGATGTTAAAATGAAAAATAATCGAAAGATGTCGTCTATTCTTAAAAATATCTTGCCTATGTTTATGTGAATGTAGTAATTAATGATTGATTATGATTTAAATATTTGTTATTTTCATGTAAATCGTTTTTTTAATTTTCACAGATATGTATGAAATGCCTCCTCGAATAGGAAAAATGAATAATATAGAAAAATTTGATGCAGAATTTTTTAATATATCAGCCGTAGAAGCTCATACGCTTGATCCTGAAGCTAGAATATTGCTCGAAAACACCTATGCAGCAATTATTGACGCAGGTGTTAATCCCGCAGAACTGCAAGGGACAAGGACGGGAATTATCACAGCAAAGTCAATTTCTGATACATATCTGGATATAATATACGAAAAGCCTCATGTATGTTAATAATTTTACTATTCCAGACTTATATATATCAACAATTTAACTCAATTTGAAAATCGATAAGATTTCAATCGATCGATTTCAAAATCGATAAGAAAAACATGCATACATGAACATGCATGTATGCATGTATTAATATGTATATACAAGGATATTGTAAAAAAAATATTTTTAATATAAAATCTATATCGTAATTAGGTTGCTGGATTACCCATAATTGGTTGCAGTAAAAGTATGTTGGCAAATAGAATTTCTAACTGGCTCAACGTTACTGGACCATCGTATAACATCGATACTGCATGTAGCTCGAGCAATTTTGCTATGGTGGAAGCTTACAATTTGATTCGATCTGGATTTTGTGACGCGGCTATTGTTGTTAGTGTCAATTTGTGCATTCATCCTTCTGTGACTCAACAGTTTTATGTCCTGGGTATGTAAAAAATAATATTCTTATGTTCAAAGATGTTGTATTCGAGATTGTTAATTTTTTTTTTTTTTTTTTTTTTTTTTTTTTTTTTTTTTTTTTTTTTTTTTTTTTTTTTTTTTTTATAATTTTATTTAATGATTATTATTATAACCTTTATCTAATAGTTTCTCTTTTCAAAATATACCAATATGTTTGATTCGCTTATTTTATATATTTATTGAAGTTTCCAAATATTTGATATATTAATTAAGAAACCGGGAATAAAAAAGTAAATGATATGTTTTATATTAAATCGAAATAAATTATTAATATTATTTTAGGAGTTTTATCTGGCGATGGCTACTGTAGACCTTACGATGAAAAAGGTACCGGTTACATGCGTAGTGATACGGCTACAGCAATATACTTGCAAAAAGCAAAGGATGCAAGAAGAATCTATGCGACTTTTATTTATGGTAAAACCAACTGCGATGGTTTCAAAGAAGAAGGAATTACTTTTCCATCATTAGATAGACAAAAAATATTATTGGAAGAATTTTACAAAGAATGTAACGTTTCGCCTTTTGAGCTATCTTATCTAGAAGCTCATGCAACTGGCACTGTAGCCGGCGATCCCGTGGAGCTTCAAGCAATCGACGAAGCTTTATGCATCAAAAGAGATTTTCCTCTATTAATAGGTTCAGTAAAATCAAATACTGGACATTCTGAAGCCGCCAGCGGTCATTGTCAAATTGCAAAGGTTTACAAAATAGAATTAATACATCTATGTTATTTAGTGCTGTATATAAACTTATGTATTTTTTTATCTGTAATTTTTGATTATTCATTATAATTATTATTTATTGATTATTTATTATAATTATAGAACTGAGATACTATTATCTATCTGCATTATAACATATATTTCATTTGTAAAGGTTTTAATAGCGATGGAAACTGGTATAATCCCTCCTACTATACATTTTAAACATCCACGAAAGAATATGACTGCTATCATTGAAGGAAGAGTAAAAATAATCACTGAACCGACAGAATGGAAGGGTGGCTACGTCGGTATTAATTCCTTCGGATTTGGTGGTGCTAATTGCCATTTATTATTGAAATCAAATCCGAAAATTAAAGTCAATGAAACAAATAATAATTTACCTAAGCTTGTAGTTATATCTGGACGTACCAAAGATGCAGTTAAAATCATATTAGATGACGTAAGTATATACTACTATTAAATAATTTAACGAAAAGGATAGATTAATACGAAATAAAAGGTAAAAATGATTTAAAAGTTTGTTTATATAAAGAATTTAAAAAATCATTATTATGAAAAATATATTATATCTAATTAAAGTATATTAATCGTATTAAAATACTAATTTTAATAATGACATCTAGATATAAAAGTTATAGAGATAAATTTAAATTGGTTATAGTCAATAAAAACGAACAAAGAGTAGAATATTATATGCACAGATCTAAGACATATTGAAATCGATTGTTCTCGAAACATATCTGTTAATATATCTATTTTGATAAAATGACTAAATAATATCCAACATGGCAACGAAATAAATTATAGAATATTTTAAAAGCATTCAGATTTTTAAAAATCAAATATATAAAACATTTGCTTATCTAACAATAAATTTCTAATTATAATTAACTTTAAAGAAGAATAATCTATTAAGATGTTATAAAATAATTATATTTTACAATTATATTAAAGATATATTATAATTAATATATCTTTATAGATACACAATCGGTCAATAGATGTAGAATATATATCTCTTTTGCATCGTATACATAGCGGCAATATAAAAGATCATCCCTACAGAGGATACATAATTGCTGGATCCAAAATAAATAACAATGCAATAATTAAAAGAAAATGTAATTCATATACGAAAAGACCGATTTGCTTTATATTTTCTGGAATTGGATCTCAGTGTTTTAATATGGGCAAGTAAATCAAATATATTATAATGTAATAATTATTATTAAAATGTTTCTTTGCAATTAACGTTAAACGATTTTTAAATTATACATATATATTCTTATATACAATAAAATTAACAATTATAATACTTCTATTTGTAAATTTTTAGGTAAATCTAGACAATTGCGGTCTATACGCCGATGACCTTGATCCTGACATATATTGTTAAGGACACCTTTCCAAGTAATTTCATGTATATACATATATAATAGGCGGACTCGAATAGTTTAGCCACTACCTTCATCTCCAAGTTTCAAAAGATGGTAATTCTATTCGGGCCTCTGCCCTGATGACTTTGATCTTCATATATGTTGTATATCAAGGGCATTATTCTAAATAAATCTTGCTTATAAAATAATTGGAGGTTAGGTTAGATTTTTAAACAATTAAAAAGTTGTTAACAAATGAAATTAATGATATAAATGGTGTGAAACGAGATGTATATTTGCAAAATTTTACATGGGTTTGCGACTTTCCACATGAAGCAAGTTCCACCTTGCCTACCGACGGTGATTGCGGGAAGGAGGCCGCGTGCGCGCGCGTGCGTGTATGTGTGTGTGTGTGTGTGTGTACACATACATTTCTGATATTTTTTAATTGTATTAAATTTATATAGAATTTAATACAATTAAAAATTATCAAAAATGTATGTGTACATATACATACATACGGGGGGGGGGGGTATAAGGGGGGTCTTCGGCCCTGCCGGTAGGCAAAGTGGACCTTGCTTCACGTGGAAAGTCGCAAACCCATGTAAAATTTTGCAAATATATACCTCATTTCACATCATTTATATTATTAACTTCATTTGTTAATAAGCTTTTTAATAAACAACGAGCGATGACTAACATTTTACTCAGGACAGTGACCTTGATAACATATACCAAGATCAACGGAGGTGAATCCTTTAATATCAACCTTTATTTCTTAAACTTCGTGTGTTCATAACTTTTTAATAAGCAGCGACTCCCAATTATTTTATAAGCAAAAGTTAGTTAGAATGATGCCTTTGGCAATATAAGTATATGAAGTCATCGGAGCGGAGGCCTAAATTGTATACAATTATCTAACTTTTTTATATAACAGCCAAAATAATGGACTTACGTAAAAAATGCTTATAACATTTTTGTAAAGCTTTTTAATAGCCTCATTTTTTGTTAATAACTTTTTTGTCTAAAATCGATATTTTCGAAGATATTTAGCGAAATCTTTTGAAACTTTGAAATGAAAATAGGAGCTAAACTATTCGAGTCCGCCTATATACATGAAATTACTCGGGAAGGTGTCCTTGACAACATGTCAAGGTCAAAGTCATCGGCGTATAGATCGCAAATGCCTAGTTTTACCAATTTTTATTAAATAATTGCTTAAATTAGATTTAGATGTAAAAAGTTTATCCTTTGATATGAACTAAACTAAAATGTAATAATGATACTATAGAAAGTGTGTGCAAAACAAAGATAAGCGATTTCTAGAGATTATGTATGTTTTTTTCATTTATGCATGTTTAGATTAATTATGTAAAAATATTAAATATTACATTATTTAAAATAATTTATCGACAACGAATGTAATATAATTATATCCTTTTAAATATTGATACATATATAGGTCGAGCTTTAATGGAATTTCCAGTATTCGCTAAAGCAATCCAAAAATGCGATACTGTTTTAAAACCTTATGATATATTTGTCACAGATATTCTAATAAATAAAGACAAATATATTTTCGATAACGTAGTCAACTTATTTGTAGGTCTTATTGGATTACAGGTATGAATAAAAATATATCGTCTATATATTGTGGAATTTTTTTTTGTATTATCTAATAAAGCATCGTATCTTTAAAGATCAGTATTTTATAAAAAAACGCAAAATTCTTGTAAAAAAATTGAAGTTGAAAAGAGCTTTTTATATGTTACATAATTGTATGCAGAAAGTTAAATTTGTAATATTTTATAATTATTTTATAATTATTTTATTTAAAAGAAAAATGGAAAGTATTGAGATATATAATAAGAATTACGTATATTATGTATACAGATCGGAATAGTTGATCTCTTAATTAATATTGGTATCACTCCTGATGTTATAATGGGTCATTCCATTGGCGAATTGGTTTGTGGGTATGCCGATGGATGCTTGACGGTTGAAGAAACCATCATGTTGGCTTATTATGTCGGTTTAGCATTTCTTAAGTCAAAAATAATAGGTGGCTTGATGGCTGAAATTAATTTAGATTTAAAAACTATGAAGAATATATGTCCATCAGATATCGATATAGCTTGTTACAATAGTTCGCATAATTATATTGTGAGTGGACCAACAAGCTCTATAAGAGCATTCCTCGCTAAACTACAGGTTCGGAAAGACTTAAAAAGTACAAATAATATATCTATGTTCATAATTAGGTTGAATTAAATAAAAAATGAATTTATTAAAAGAAATTTATTTCTATTTAGAATGACAACATTTCTGTAAAAGAAATTTCCTCTGGACATGTACCTTTTCATAGTCGTTACATCGAGCCTGCGAGAGTTAAACTTTTGGAATACCTGAATCAGATATTGCCACAGAAAGCCTCTCCGAGCTCAAAGTGGTTGAACATGTTGAACAAATCCTATGAATGGTTCAGCACATCTCCAAATATTTCGTATCTAGCAAAATATTATACAAATAGCCTATTAACCCCAGTAGTATTTTCAGAAGCTATGCGTTTTATTCCAAATGACGCGGTGACGATTGAGATAGCGCCGCACGACATTCTACAATACATTCTTAATGATTCGTTAAATGCAACTGTGACAAATGTCGCGTTATACAAATTCTCTCACAAACCAAACGTTGAAATATTCTTACACGGAATTGGACAACTTTATAATGCAGGATTACAGCTGCAAATAGCAAATTTATATCCGGAAGTTAAGTTTCCAGTGAGTCGTAGTACACCGATGATTTCTCATCTTATGAGGTAAATTTTGATTAATATAACATAAGATATAACATTCTTTAACGTTATGTTTATTACAAAAAAATAGCAAAATTTAAAAAAACGGAAAATTAATTTGCATTATTTTTAACGACGTTAAACGCTAATAAGGCTAATGTTTTATATATTGTTAAATTAATAACACGTTTTCTAGATGGGATCATTCCGAAGATTGGTATGTATATCATTATTACTCACAAAGAAAAGTTGAAAATGGGGAAATAATTGTTACCATTAATTTACTTGAGGAAGAATTTTCATATATGATTGGGCATGTCGTTAATAGAAAAAATTTATTACCGGCTGCAGGATATCTTTTCCTGATATGGCAAATGATCAGCTGGTTAAAAAAGCAAAATGTTCTCGATGTATCAATTGTATTTGAAGATGTTAATTTCCTACGTTCTACACTTCTGTCAAAAGAAAATCCAGTCAATTTAATTCTTATAACCCAAAAAGGTAACTTGTACAATTAAAATAATTTTGTAATCTAGATATATAAAAAGATAAAAGTTTTTTAAAACAAAATGTGAATAAGCGAAAAGATTCAATTGAAAAAATAAATTACGAAAAGATTTGTATCTAATAAACAAATTATTAACAGTTTATCATTAAAGTAACAGCAGATTTGAGCAAAAATTGCAGTTTATTGATACTGCATTAAATTCTACTGAGAAAGTTAGTAAATATAATATAATCAAGAAATCATAGTTTCTACTGTCAAACAATAAAAAATATATTGTAAATTTGTTGATTTGTTTGATTTTACATCATATTATTATTTTTATTTTTGCTATTTTAATTAATGTATTGCTAAAATCTATGTTCGGAAGGTTGCAATTTAGAGATATCATAGCTAAGTTAATTTTCTGTAATTTATTAATACTATTGGTTACTTAAACTATCTAAGTTTCTGACGTAAATACATATTAGATCTATCGTGTATTTGACTATTATTAATGTTATATGAACATTTTCATTAAAATTAAAATTTATATTTGTTTATTTAACTTGCAAATTGTATACAATGATTGGTATTTCATTTCTACACTATTTCATTTCCACGTTTGAAGGGCGGCTGGAATTTATTCTTCATTAAAAACATCCTCTCTTATGAAACATAACATAGAATCTCGTTATAAAACATGGAATAGAATTTCCGTGTGTAAATTAAATAGGGAGAGCTTCAGTTGCCTACATTCCCGATTGCCTACATGTATTATTGCACACACGAAAAAAATAAAAAAACGAAAGTATAATTGCACACATGATATTGTTGCGCACATACACATTGCACACATAAAATAAGAAAATCATATTAACACTTTCTACACATGACTTTATTGCATACATGGTCATTTCACACATGAAATTATTGCACACATACAGATTGCACACATGATATTATTGCGTACATACATGATTAAAAGCAGATTGATATTGGATTGCTCACAGAATCCCATCTTAAAATCTTTTGAATGATAGGATTTCCGTATGTCACTTTCATAATTCGATGAACTTTTACAAGCATATAGTATTAAATAAAGTCGAATGCTATAAAAGCGAATGTGCAGAAATGTTTATTTTTCATATTTTAATTTTAATTATCTTCTTAAATGAATAATATTTAAACTTTCCATTTAGAAAGAAATATTAGAATTCAAAAATATTTTGGATCTAGGACTATACTGAAATAGAATCTCGCTTCGTGTGATAGTCGATAACCTATGTAAAACAAAACAATTATAGATCTTGTTTCGAGCCGCAAGCAAGGGGAATGTGGAGTAGACCTCGCTTTGCATGGAAATTGAAAACCCATGTGGAAGAGAAGAATTATAGATATTCTCCAAAGAATCGAGAATCTTGTGCTTACACAATCGAAAAATTCAACATAATATAAATAACATGATATAAAAATAAAATTTGAATACCTTAAGAACAAAACGTTTCTGCTTATTCGCATTTGTGGCATTCGACTTTATGTAGTACATATTATATATCTGTAAAAATTGATCAAATTCGGAGATGGATCACATACGAAAATCTTGCCCAAAGCATCTAATTATATTTTTATTTTTTACATGAAATAATATTGAAATTATATTTTATATGAAATAATATTATGTGTGCAATGTGCATGCGTACAATAATATCATGTGCGCAATAATGTAATGTGTGCAATAAAGTTGTGTGTGGAAAGTGTTAAGGAGTTATACCTAGCAAGTCGAAAAAAACGTATTTTTGGAGAATTTAAAAAGACCTGTTAGATATTTTTATTTTATCGATTTTTTATCATAATATATATCTATCAAAGAAGATTTCATAATTTTTTAAATTAAAAATATTGAGAAATGTAGACACAGTAATTATTTCCCAGACATCTTTTTTCGGAGGCACTTGGTGATAAACAAGATTGCTCGGATCATCTGAAATAAAAAATTCAAAAGGATTTAGCTTTTGTATAAATTGATCTAGTTCGTGAACGAAAGGATTTTAATTTTGATGAAACCTTTTTTTTTTATTAACAAAAGAACGAAAAGTTTTAACACGAAAAATTCATATTTTTGCGTCAAACGTCTGTCACATTGTCAAAAATAAATTTTTTTTTAAATCTTTCGTTCACGAACTAGATCAATTCATACGAAAGCTAAATCTTTCTGAATTTTTTATTTCAGATGATCCAGCTTCGAGTAATTTTGCTCACCGCCAAACGTCTTTGAAAAAAGATAGTCCTGGAAAATAGCTCCTGTGCCTACATTTTTCGATATTTTTAATTAAAAAAATTATAAAAACTTCTTTGATGGATATATATTATGATAAAGAATCGATGGAATAAAAATACCTAACAGTTTTTTCTTAAATTCCCCAAAAATACGTTTTTTTCGACTTACTGATTAAGTATAATCCCTTAATATGATTTCCTTATTTTAAATGTGCATGTGCATGTAAACAATAATGTGTGCAATGTGCATGTAAACAATAATGTCATGTGTGCAATGTATATGTGCGGAATAATGTCATGTGTGCAATCGTAATTTAATTTCTTTATTTTTTTCGTGTGTGCAATAATACACGTAGGCAATCGGAATGTAGGCAATCGGGAATGTTGGCAAAAGAAGCTGTCGGTAAAATGTTGTGCACAAATGAAGCAGTTGACAATCGAAAATGTAGGCAACTAAAGCCCTCCGTATTTAATTTACAAACCAAAATTGATAATTGTATTCTTATAGATAGTTGCAAATTTGAAATAATCGAAGGAGAGAGTGTTGTCGTCACTGGAACAGTACGAATTCCAGTTAATATTGAAGACGAGAAAATATGTAACACATTTATTGATCGAAATGACAATGACAAAGAGGAGATGAATATAAAAGATATTTACAAAGAATTGAAACTTCGTGGTTATCAATATACCAACGAATTTCGTGGATTAAGAAGCGCGTCAATCACAGGAAAGAATGGTCATATTGCCTGGACTGACAATTGGGTAACGTTTATGGACAATATATTACAGATGATGATTTTAGGGCAAGATTCGAGAAGCCTTTTTGTACCAACAAAAATTCGTAAAGCGGTAATCGATCCAAAATCTCACATAAAATATATTGAAGTACTTTCAAATGAAAACAAACGTAAGTTTATCATTATTATAAATGGACATATTTAATCAAATATTATTACGTATTATTAAGTATTATTAAGTATTACAGTATTATGAACTATATACGTATTTAATCGAATATTATTTTTCGAAAAATATATACTATTGTCTTTATATCCGCAGAAGTCCTTGTACAAAATTATAAGCACTTAGATGTTTTGATATCTGGAGGAATAGAAATACATGGTCTCGTAGCTACAGCTATATCTCGTCGACAAAATGTAGCTAACCCCGTTCTTGAAGAGTACAAGTTTGTTGCTCATCGAGATTTGAATATGACATCTTTGCAAGATGCAATAAGAATGTCGGTGCACGTTGCACTTGAGTGCCATAACATGATAAACGTAAAAATCATTGAATTTATCGAAAGTAGCGACGAAGTGATGCCGGAGAATTTAAATTCTTTACATGTTTATAAAATTTTAGACGACTTACCGCAAATTTGTTACAATATCAAAATAGTAACGAGTAACGAACGATTCAAAGATATTTCTTTGCCCGACAATATTTCTACGATGGAATTTGATAAACTGACGAAAAATGAAAATTGTTTGATGATTATAGGTTTCGGAATTTTAACAAAAAATAGAAACGATTTATACGAACAATTGTTGTCTGCCATAATGCCAAGAGGATTTCTTCTGACATTGGAAGAGTTAGATGCTATTTACGATTACTCATGTCTGGACAAATATGGATTAAAAGTAATTTTGGAAAAACGCACCAATGATAAGACAATTATATTATTAAGAAAAATACAAGATTTTAAGACGAATCAGCAGATTGTGCATGTAAATAATTACGAATTTTCGTGGATAAATGAGATTAAATCATTCATGAACGTGGAAAATGACAACATAAATACGAGGATTATAATCGTCGCAGAAGGGGACTTCGAATGCGGTCTACTCGGCCTTGTCAATTGTTTGCGAAAAGAACCGGGTGGTGAAATGATTAGAAGTGTATTTATTCAAGATGGAGATGCGCCTGCTTTTTCATTGCAAGAATCGTTATATATGAGGCAGCTACAACTGGATTTACCCATCAATGTTATACGTTCCGGCATTTGGGGATCCTACAGACATTTTCCATTATCATTATTAGAACCAAAACTCGTACAGAATGCTTATGTTTCTCAAATGGTACGATTTTAAGAAGATTCGGATTTTTATATTTAGGAAAATAGTGATAATTCCCTTAATAAATTAAGAAATAGTTTTTTATTGTAATTTTAAGAAGCTTAAAATAACTTGTTATATTTATTTATTTTAGGTGCGAGGTGATCTGAGTACTCTTTGTTGGATGCAAAGTAGGATATCTTTCGTTAACAATAATAAAGAAAATCTAGTAAGAGTAGTTTATGCATCTATCAATTTTAGAGATGTCATGATAGCTAGCGGTAGACTCGCCATTGAATCTATTACAACCGAACGAAATAATAATTCTTTAATTGGAATGGAATTTGCTGGTTTTAATAAAACTGGGCAAAGAATAATGGGATTATGTTCAACAGGGTAAGCGAATATTAGATAAAAACTTGATAAAATCTTAATATGTATGTGAATAGAATCTTAATGTGTATATTCTTAATAAAAATAAACGAATATTCTAAACGTATATTCTTAATAAAATAAATTTTGTATATTTAAATTAGAAACGTTTTCGATGAAGTAAAAAATGAAAAAATTGCTATATTTTACATGCTTCTTTTCATTCTTTACCTAATCTTTACATATTATTCACAAAAAATATTTAAAAAATATTTCTTTGACTTAATTTTAACATAATATATTTTTATATGATTTTCTAAATTATATTATTTTCAGAGGAATGACAAATATTCTCATAACTGACAAATATCTTAGTTGGATCATACCTGACATGTGGACGATGGAAGACGCTGCGACGGTTCCTTGTGTATATGGCACGTGTTATTACGCTTTGTATTTGAATGGTAAAATGAAAAAAGACGACAAAATATTGATTCACTCTGGTACGGGAGGTGTTGGTCAAGCTGCCATTTATCTTGCCCTTTACGAGGGTTGCGAAGTGTTTACGACGGTTGGGAGTATCGAAAAACGAGACTTTATAAGAAAAACGTTTCCTTCTATTCCCGAGGATCACATTGGAAACTCTCGTGATACGAGCTTCGAACAAATGATTATTCAGGGAACAAAAGGTCGCGGAGTGAATATCGTATTAAATTCTTTAGCTGAAGAGAAACTACAAGCGTCCGTCCGTTGCTTAGCAAAGGGTGGTCGTTTTCTCGAGATTGGAAAGTTTGATATGGTCTCCAATAATCTTCTAGAAATATTTGCATTTTCAAAAGGTATTAGTTTTCATGGCATCTTATTGGAAAAGTTATTTTCTGCAGAACCAGAGAGTAAGACAATACTACGGAACAAGTTAATAGAAGGCTTAAAAAATGGCGCCATCAAACCGTTATACAGAAAAGTTTTTGAAAAGCATGAAATAGAAACTGCTTTTAGATATATGGCTGCTGGAAAGCATATTGGAAAGGTATGATAGTTTCTTAATGTACATATAATGGAGGAAGTATAATTACAATTGAAATATTAAATTCTCAAAAAAATGCGCACACTTTTTGTTTTCTTTGTATTATCTTTAATATTAGAATTATTTTAATATAAATAAAAATCACTCCTGTGTATATTTTGAAACACAAACATATCTGTGCTAAAAATACTTCTGTCTATTTTCCTTAATTAAATTTTAATATTGAATGTAAATTGTGACGCAAACTTTTCCACTTTAAGTAATATTTTTATCAAGAGATTTTAAAATGAAAAAATTAAATAGCTTTTTCTGATGTATCTTCTTAACTATGTTGTAATATGTAAAAGTCCATTGTGCTTCTTTCCTCTTTATGTTTGTTCCGTATGTTCTGACCGGAATCTAGATCGCGGAAGCCACCTATCGATCACGCAAGCCTCAGATGCTCGCGCGACTCCTTCGAAAACTCTATCATTTTTATCGCGATACATACAATTATCCGCCAATACAATTAAGCGCCATCCCTTCGCGTCCACTAAAAAGTTCTGGCGCCATACTCTAACTGCGAGCTTGCGCCTAATTCCGGCGCGCAGGATCTATCGATCTGCCAATCCTCAATCGATTTATAATGCGTCAACAATTAATTGGTCCACGTTAGCAGGATGCTTCCGCCTTCTGCTACGACTTGCGTGCCTTCTTCTTGTTCTACCGTTTGTTGCTCCAACATCGCGCCGCTCCTCGGTGGTTGTTTTCTCGAAGTACCGCGAATGAAATTTGCTGTGAAAGTTTCACGTTTGTCGCGTGTAATTAAAGTCGCAAATCGAAGACGAGTTTCGTCTTGTTGGTCCCGCGCGTGGTCAAATAAGGAAAGCGAAATCTTTCTCGCCGCGTGTGCGGATTCTCTGCCATCTTGGCTATCGTAGCACCGGCGAGAAATTTCACGAGAGCATGTGCGAAAAAAATATTTTCCAACGGTCCGCGTAATATCAATTGATTGTCGCGTGAATAATCAAATTTCATGAACATTGTAAGTACTCCGAAATATATTTGTGACTTTTATAGTGAGAACAACTCTGATTTTTTTACGCTTTCCGCGTATCGGTTCCCAGTCGGGAGCGACCCCACGCCTGATCCCAATTAATTATCTTAATTCCTGTACAATGTTCATTTGGAAAAACTCCTACTTTTAAAGATTTTTTATCAATTCTTTTAAATCTCTTTACAAATACATTTTATTTGATAATTTATTCATTTTTATAGGTTCTTATCTGTAATCTTCATTTTTCCTAATAGCTTCTCGCCTTTTATATTTCTTCTTTTTTCCTCTTCCTGATACTTCAAAATATAATGTAATATTATTTACAGATAATGATAAAAGTTCAAAAAGAAATTGAACTGGAAGCACCTATACTTGCACATCCTCGGTATTATTGCCTGGAACATAAATGCTACATCGTTATAGGTGGTCTGGGTGGCTTCGGTCTAGAATTAATTGATTGGTTAATATTACGTGGCGCAAGAAATTTAGTATTAATTTCGCGAACTGGAATAAAAAATGGTTATCAGCAATCAAGAATAACGTTATGGCAATCTTACGGTGTGAATGTTCAAATCGTTACATCTGCTGATACTTCGAAATACGAAGACTGTAAATCTATATTGCAATTTGCCGAAGAACAAGGTCCCGTGGATGCTATATTTAATCTCGCAGTTGTGTTGAAAGATGACATATTCAAGAATCAGTCCCCACAAGCATTCGAAGATTCTTTTATATCAAAGGCATGGACGACGAAAAGAATGGATGAATTATCGAGAACAATTTGTCCTCAGCTTCGACATTTTGTCGTTTTTTCTTCCGTTTCATGCGGAAGAGGTAACGCGGGCCAAACAAATTACGGAATGGCAAATTCCGTAATGGAAAGAATTTGTGAAAGAAGAATGAAAGAAGGTTTACATGGTTTGGCTATACAGTGGGGCGCGATTGGTGACGTTGGACTTGTCGCAGATATGCAAGAAGACGACAAAGAACTTGTTATTGGTGGTACATTGCAACAAGAAATATCCTCCTGTTTAGACACATTAGAAGCGTTCTTGCTACAAGATCGGTCAATCGTAAGCAGCATGGTTGTTGCTGAGAAAAAAAAAGGTTCTGGCGAAGCAACGAATCCATTTGAAGCGGTTGTAAACATTATGGGTAAATTTATTAAGTATATATTATGTAAAAGATTCGCTTATACAAAATAAATTTTTATTGCAAAAAATATAAATTTTAATAATTCATATATTGCAGTTTCAAGATTAGATAAGATTGGATCTGATTAATCATGTGTAAATATTTAATTCTTTTTCTAATTTTTAAAATAGGATTGAAAAATCCAAACATGGCAGCGCCAAACATATCATTAGCTGAACTAGGCATGGATTCAATGATGGCAGTGGAGATTAAACAGACATTGGAGAGAGAATTCGATATTTTATTGACAGCACAAGATATTCGAAATCTCACTTTTGCAAAACTTAGAAAATTGACAAATACATCTGAACAAGAGAAAATATACCGAGAAGATGACACGGAAGCTAATGTAAATGATTTGGACGGTTTAAAAATATTGACTCGAAAACTTAACGATTCAGACTTGAGTCAAGACATTTATGTAAAACTCGATACAGAGAGGAAAGTTGCTGGGAGTGAAATATTCCTTATACCAGGAATCGACGGGTGTGCAAGTGTATATAAACTGATAGGATCGAAAATTAAATCTTCGGCGATATGTTTGCAACATGGTGTACTTAATATGCCGGATGTTACTCGTTCAGTAATGAAATCAGCAGCATATCTTCTGCCTGTACGAAATTATAATATAATTTATTTGAAATCTTTATTTTAATTGCTGTATTTAAACTTTAAACAATGATACATATTTAATTATGTATACGCATACGCGCATGCATTTTTGCGTAATTTCATACATGTTTGCTTATTATTTTAGCACGTATTGGAGAAAATACAAAGTCAAAAAGAATTTCTAATTATCGGTTATTCATTTGGATCTTTAATTGCCATCGAATTAGCGAGATTATTAGAAGCTAAGAACTTCTTCGGACGTTTACTACTTATAGATGGAGCTCCTGATCAAATGAAGTTCTTTGCTGAGAAATTTTTTTATCATACTACAGAACAAGAACTACAAAATAGCATTTTACTTAATTTAATAAACATGTATCTTGACCCTAACAATGAAATGGTTAGACAATTATTAAAAATAGATATGTAGTTAATTATATATATATATATATATATATATATATATATATATATATATATATTAATAAAATAATATATAATTAATAGAATGAAAGGAAGAATTATGAAAGAAATAATTTGTTAGAATGTATGCTTTAAAATTATAAAATAAGCTAAATTTTTTATTATATTAATTTATTATATTATTTTAATCTAAATTACAAAGGTTTTGTAAAGTTTCTTTAACGTAATTTAGATTATATGAAATAATATAATATAATATAAGTATATTATTTTATCTCAGTTTAAAATGCAGATTGTCATTTTGTTGTACTGATGCAATATTATTATTTACAGCTTGCATTAGAACTAAATAAGTGCAATACGTGGGAAGAGAAATTTGAATTTCTTTCGGCACGCTTTTCAAAGGATATCAATGAATTAACTGTTGAAAATCAGAAATTGTTATGTTCGACGATATATGATCATATAATCGCTATACAAGATTATAATATAACATTATTGCCACGTCTTAAATCATCTATAATCTTATTAAAACCCACACTTACATCTATCACTTTAACTAAAGAGGATTATGGTCTACATAAGGTAAATTTATTTAGAACGTAATATATTATCATTTTTAAGATTATTTTTATAAATAAAAAATATTTTTAGATTACCGAAAGTGCAATACAAATACGTTACGTGGAAGGTACTCATGTCACAATGATGAACAACGATGAAGTAGTATCACTTATTAACGAATTATTATAAATTATAAAAATATGAATAAGAAGAGAGAATACTATATGTTTTCTTTAATAATTCTACTCTAACAATAAAAGATAGAAAGATAAACCTGAATCAACAAAACAATGATATTGCTATTTGAATATCTCAATTTCATATGATAAGATTCAGCTAATTTTATTATTTAACTGATATTTTATCATTTAATTTGTCACTACTAAAATGCGATTAAATTATTGTTATAGATCATTAATATCGCAGAGCGTCACTAATGCAATCTTCTATCAAGAGAGACTGTACGTTTTTTCTTTGTGTGTTTGTGATATGTGTTGATGGCGATGATGTTAAAAATACTTCTTAAATGAAAATTTCCATATTTGGACTTTGTATCATGATATCTTCATTTATAGATCAATCAGAATATAAATGAGGATACTTTTTTCATACAAATCAAACTCGTTCTATCGATTAAGCTTAATAAGAATTCGATCCATTCAGCCGTTGTTAAAATTTGATAATCTGATGACTCTCAATCCGATTCGCGTATAGATATACGGAGTGCCTCGCTAATCCTTTGCATGGCACGAGATATATAAAATCACGATGATATAAAATAAGATAAATAATTAATTATATAAATAAATATAATATAAATAAAACTTAAAAAGTTATATATTTTAATTTTATAATTTATATTATAAAATATTAATTATTAAATTTAAATATAAAACTTTTTAAGTTTTTTATATTTTTTTTATATTATATTTATTTATATTTTTCATTTATATTATTAATTATATTTATTTATCTTATTTTAACAATTTATATCATTATATTGTTATATGTCTCGCGTCAAATTCATGCGAAGGATTAGGAAGGCACTCTGTATATCTAAACGCGAGTTGGAAAGTCATCAAATTATCGAATCTTAATAATAATTGGACTAAATTCTTAAGCTTAATCGAGTTTAGACCAAGTTTGAATTGTATTAAAAAAATATCTTTATTTTTGTTCTGCGTGATCTATAAACGGAGATATCATGATGCAAAGTCGAGGTATGGAAATTTTCATTTAAGAAAGAGTTTTATCATCACCATCATCAACGCACATCTACACAATACAAAAAGAAAAAACATACAGTTTTTCTATTGATAGAAGATTGCGTTACCTACACTCTGAGATATTAATGACATATGACATTAGTGACATGTATAATTTAACCGCATTTTGAGTAGTGAAAAATTAAATAATAAATTGCAAGTTAAATAATAAAATTAGCTGAATCTTACCATATGGAATTGAGACATTCATATAACAATATCATTGTTTTTTATTGATTCAGGTTTGTCTTTTAATTCTTTTTTTTTTTTTGTTGGAATGGAAGCTGCGAAAGATATACGTTTTATATAACGAATTTTGTAATCTATACATTTAATTTTTATTTTGTTATAATATATATTTTATTGTTATGGTATATTGTTATGGTATATTATGGTATATTATGGTATATTGATATATGGTATATTGTTATGTTATATTGATATATGGTATATTGTTATGGTGTGGTATATCATGTATGGTATATATATATCAATTTTTATTATTATTTTTTCTAATTTATGTTTATTATATATAATATGTATATTTTATATGAATATATATATTTAGGTATTTTCGTCATTCTTTAGATCCTATGTACTCGTATATGAAATAACTTGGTATTTAATTTCTGCAAGATGCTTTTAAATTTTTTGCTAATATTTTTTTCAATAATCGCGTAAACTTACTTTTTGTATGTATAAAGGCTTTATATTCATTTATTTTTCAAGCAGCAAAATATATATGTGTGTGTGTGTGTGTGTATTCTGCTGCTTGGAAAATAAATGAATATAAACCCATTATACATACAAAAAATAACTTGCGATTATTAACGAAAATATTAGCAAAAAAATTTAAAAGCATCTTGCAGAAATTAAATACTAAGAACTTGAAGAATATTAATAATAAAATGTAAATAAGTGAAATTCTAGAAAAAATTAACTGCAGTTTTCATTTCTACGTACATTGAGTAACAACTAGAAATATTTGAAAAGAAATATTTGTTATCATTATTGATCTGTTATTTCATATATGCAGGATCTAGAGAACAACGAACATACCTGAGATATGTTCAAGATAACAGATATTGTAGTACACTAAACTCTGTATCATTTCGACAAACGCCATTTAAAATTTGTCTAGCTATTTTTGCGGTAGACATTGTTTCTTAATGAAAGTAACTTTATATTCTGTGGAATCTATTTTAAGAAACTAATAAATTAGAAAAATAATAATATTTTTCTTCAGCAGGAATGAGAATTTATGTAACAAAAAATATTTTATTATAGAATATTACTCTGATTTCAATATATATTTTTCAACTGAAAATATTCTCTTCCCTTTACTTCTCTCATAGAAAGCCTTCAATTTAAACTAATAATTTATTTTTTAAGAATTTACTTAATTATCTTAACATTGCAATTACTTGCTTATAGCATGGTTTCCTGCTTATATTAAAATTGCAGATACGGCGCTAATACATTTGAATCAATAAAAGTAAAAAAGATCTTTTTAAAGAAAACTTATCTTTTTAAAAAAAGGTAAAAAAGGTGCAAGTTTATGCGGCACACACAACAAATTATTTTAATATAATTAATTCTACAAAATTATTTTAATATAATATATCCTACAAAAATAATATCAAAAAATTGCGCTAACTAAGGATGAAAACTTACTACTATAAGTTCAAATAGAAATATTAATTAAAAACTCTGTTATACAAAATAGTTATTTTAATTTCCAAAAATAATAATATTAAAATATTGAAAATTTATTTAAAAATTGAAAACTGGAAATTAATATAAAACAAAAAATAAAAAATTTTTATTAAAAAAAATGTTTATTAAAAAACTTGGCGTTGCCAATAAAATATTGCATATTATAATTAAATACATAGTTAAAATTGGCACATATTTTAATTATTAATTCTAATTATTAGTCTAACATTTAAATTTAATTATTTAATTTCTTCAATTAATTTATGTTATTTATTTATGTTAGTTATTTATTTATGTTATTTATTTATTTATATTTAGATAATTTTCGACGTTTTAACGTCTCATAGGAACGGCGAATGACTAAGGCGGTAAAGTATTTATCTGCTGTATAAAATATCTCGGATTCAACTCCCGATATAGCATGAAGGTTTTTTTGCGATAATCGCTTCACCTCCCCTTCATCTCATGAAGACAATCAAATTGCGTCTCAAGAATATAAGCAAATGAGTCAAAAACAGAAATACGTCTGTTCAAAAAAAAAAAACAGAAATATATTCCTTATAGAAATTTTAAATCCTAATTTTAATTCTACATGTTTCATATAAAATTCATCAAAATCATTTATTTTCACTGTATCGTGTATGTTAGTATTTCAGCATGAAACTAACATATAAATTTTTATTTATTTAAAAGTTTTTCAAAATATATCAAAGACAATAATTTTCTTATTTATTTATGATTTTCTACTTATTATAATTTTCTTTTTATTTTAACATTTTGACAGTCCGCCAGAAGCATTTTTACGATTAGAGACCCTCTAACATAAAAATTACGAATTTTTACGATTAGAGGTCTCTATTTACGATTTGACAACAGCGCCTCTTGCGACGCAATTGTAAATTATTTCATGTAACAATTTGGAGTATTCCTCTCTTTATATTTTATCATTCCTGCTTGAAATCAAGCCGCATAACCTCTATAAATTTATTTTGCTCCTTTTGCTCCTTGTTGTTAAATTCTTTGCGGAAATTTTATTAAATAAAATTAAGATATACAAGTGCATATAATTTCAGAAAAATGTCCTTATTTGCGAGACGGATATTTTCCAATCGTAATTGTTCTGTTTTGTTTTAAATTTAATGCGAAATATCATTAATTAAATTACATATTTAACAATATTTTTTACTTGCAGTTTTGAAAGATTGGCAATGTTTGCAATCTGTCACCTGTAATTCCAATCTTCGATGCCAATTATCGACTCAGTCTCAACCGAATGTGAAAGAATCTGGTTTGTAGAAATATTTTTGCTCTGGTATTGTATTTTTCATATATCATATAAATCATTTTTATAAAGAAATATCTCTATAATCTAACATGCTTTATTTTGTATACATAGATCTGTCCATTATTTCGGAGAACCCAGTCACTACGTTAGATCCGCTAAAACATCCAGATTTTTTCCAAGTTCATAATATGTTCACTGTGAAGGATCTGTACGATGCCAGGGTACACTATGGCCACAAAATAACTTCAATGAATCAACACATGGAGACATTCATATTTGGTTCCAGATTAGATCACTTAATAATCGATTTAGATCAAACCGCTGAATTACTCAGACAAGCATTGAACTTCATTGCCCATGTCGCCTTTAGAGATGGTATAATTCTGTTCATTTCACGAAATCCTCAGACTACATATTTAGTGGACAAAACTGCCAAAGAGTGCAAGGAATTTTCACAGACGAGATACTGGCGGATAGGCCTGTTTCCTAATTCGAAGAACCAGTTTAAGACCATGACACGACTGCCTGATCTGTGCATCTTTCTTAGTACCCTTGACTCTGTATTGGCTGAACATCCAGCGGTTAGACATTCGGCGAAGATGTGCATACCCAGCGTAGGTATAGTCGACACGAATTGTAATCCGAATCTTATAACGTACCCTATCCCCGGAAATGACGACTCTCTATGCGCCATAGAGCTCTATTGTTCATTATTCAAGGAAGCTATTCTGAGAGGTAAAAAAGCTCGAGAAACAATGACCAATTTTAAAGAATCAATATAAAACTAGCAAGTAATTTGTGATATTAAACAAATCATATTATATATGTACAAAACAGCAGATCGAAATATACATTTCTTTCTCTAAAATAAGGTTATTATTATGAATGATGTAATGTTGTAAAAAATAGGTAATATAGAAATATATAAAAATATTTAATATAATCATAGGAAATATACTCCTGGACAAAATTAATGCATAATTTTTTTTCACTTTTTCTTTAAAATTTTTCGTTAAAATTTAAATATCAGCTTTTAAAGAAAAAATGAAAAAAAATTATGCGTTAATTTTGTCCAGGAGAATATATATTAATACATTTTAAAGTACTAATTATCATTACGCTATTTTAAAGATGGCAATTAGTTCTGACTGGAAACCTTAGCATCCCGTAATTTCATTAGATATTTTGCGCCTAGAGTCATCACCAACCTGTGTGGAAAATAATTTATGCAATTATTAATTTAATGCAATTATATTAAAATCGATCAAAAGATTCATTTGGTTTTATTTTTCTTTTTTTTTTTTTAGTTTTGTAACTGCAAATTCACTTTAAATAATTACTTGAATTGCAGTCTAATTCTATTTACGATTTTGTGCTATGTATTTTAAATATATTCATATTCTGCTTCTTCAGATGTTTTTTATATTACACAGCACATGAAATTTTATTTCACAAGTTTTGTTAATAAATAAATAATCTAAGAGTAAGATTTAAAAACCAAATGAATTTTTTGATCGATTTAATTACATGTAAGTAAAATAATTATAAAAAAAATGAAAGGGAGACATATATACCATTTTCCAACATTTGGGAAACAATAAAGTATGTAGAGCAATCGCAACACGGCCGGTTTGGCGATCCATACTTCGTCCATCTTATTCGCAATCGCTACGCCCATTAAAGTTGCGCAACGTTTTGCGCTTACTTTATTTTGGTCTTTTTCCGTCTTTATACCGTATTTCTAAAAAAATAACCAAATTACAACAATTGATTAAATATGTGTATACATTGTAATTAACGCAAAACACGGAATGTTTCAAGAAACTCGAGAGAGAGCTTCACTAAAATACTTTAAAAAAAACGAGTGGAATTGTGAGTTTTATTCACTCTTTTTGTGCTATTATTTTTTATGACAGTTGCACCACCGTAATGTATTTTCACATCTCGACTTTAAGATATACTTTCATAAATTTTGAAGTGTGTTTCATGTAATACATACTACACCAGATTGTTCGGTAAAGCTTTCGGCCAGAAAATTTGTCTGTATCGGACCCGGACAAACGATTGTCACATCGATATTTCTAAAGTGTTCTAGCACTAAGGATTTAAAATAGCCCTGCGAATAATATAATATTATTACCTACTTCTTTTAAAGATTTTCGCAAAATTATTGCATTCGTTACGCCTTAAAAGTACTTACGTGTAACGCATGTTTAGTACCACTATATGACCCTGACATAACTACCGGTAAAAATCCAGCGACGCTAGAGTTGATGACAATTTGGCCATTGCCTGTTTGTAAAAAATGTTTAACTGCTAGTCTACTTAAAGATACAATGGACAATACGTTCAATTCAAACATTTCTCTATCGACTTCTACTTGAATGTTTTCCCACTGCGCTCGTTGACTCCGACCAGCATTATTAACGAGGATATCCAACTGAAATGCATGTCGTAGTAAGATTCTTTTTCGATCAAATAAAAGCTAATAAGTGTTAAATAATAAATAATAAATATTAATATAATAAAAAATGACATACATAAAAGATTTCGTCGAATTAATCAACGTGATTAATTATAAATACGTGAAACGTACTTTGCCAAATTTGTTGATCACGTGTAGGAACGCTTTTTCATGCAAGTCCAGATTAAGCACATCCAAAGGGTACACTTCCACATCGTCGTCGTTCAAATATTTGTTTTCTAGAAGAGAAGAAAGTGAAACTTTTATAAAAATCTCAGCATATTTTTATACAATTTAATTTTAATTGTTTATATCTCAAATTATACGAAGAAAAATCATCGATTTATTGGAAGGAAATGTTCGATCTACCTTCCAGACATCTCTTCTTCACTTGTTCCAATTCAGCGACCCTTCGAGCGGACAATATTAATTTACAGCCAGCTTTGGCTAACACGTAGGCTAATTGCTCTCCGATACCGCTGGATGCACCTGATATCCATACGACTTTGCCTTTCAAAGAAGCTGTGGAACAAAATAAATCAATGTAAATTTATTTATACATTTATTACTTTATAAGCTTCTCTATTTTACACAATCTACATAAATTACAATAGATTTTGCAGTTTTTTTATATAAAAAAATTTTTTTTGAATTTATGTAATTATGTTATAAAATATTATATATTATAAAAAAAGAAAAATCTCTGGAATACTTCTATTGCCATTTATATAAATTATGTGCATAAACTATCCTTCTTTATTTATCTCATCTAATTTACAGTATTTGAAGGAAAGTTTCTTGCTGCTTTTTAGACTTTGTACTAAATATAAATTTACTTACATATTGGCTTGCCGAATATCTCCTTAAATCTGAGCAAGAGGTCACAGTCCAAAATGGAGGGTAAAATTAGGTAGGCGATATAGTAGAATACACTTAACAGTCCAATAGTTGCGAAAAAAGCCATATTATCCGATTCGAAAAATAATATCTGTCAATAAAAAGTGAAATTATTATTATATGTAGATTACATATAATAGATGTTTATTGAAGATTAAGGTGAACTTTTGTTTGTTAATAAATAATGACATGAATTGTGAATAATGAATAATGAATAAGCGATAACTAAAAGTTTTTAAAGATTGTTCAAGAATCATAAGTCTAACGATATGTACATTTTAGATCTGATTTTGCTAATTATAATTTATTACGGTAATATGTGTGTGTGTGTGTGTGTATGTGTGTGTGTATATATATATATATATATATATATATATATATATTTATTTATTTATTTATATATATATATTTATTTATTTATATATATTGGTTACGAAAATAGAAAAAAATTAAATTTAAAGAAAAAGTTAAATTAAAAGAAAAAAATAAGATAATAAAATCTTTCCGCAACCAATGATTTTCTTGTTCAAGAATATAAATCCCAGGCACTTTGTAATGAATAATAAAAATTTTTATGTCAGTTGAAGTGCACGTTGAAGAAATACGAGACATCTCTTGATCAAGAAAACGCAGTTACATAATTTTAAAATCTATATAGATTATATAGATTTATATAGATTATATCATTATTTGATCTATATAGATTATAATCATTAGTTGCGGGAAGATTTTATTATCTTATTTTTTTTCTTTTAATTTAATTTTTTGCTATTTTCGTAACCAATATATATAAATATATAAATATATATATATATATATATATATATATATACATATTTATATATTTATAATAAATTATAATTAACAAAATCAGATCTAAAATGTACATATCGTTCGACTTACGATTCTGAACAATCTTTAAAAACTTTTAGTTATTGCTTATTCATTATTCATTATTCACAATTCATGTCATTATTTATTAAAAATTATTAACAAACAAAAATTCACCTTAATCTTCAATAAACAAAATAAAAATTGATAAATAATAATTAATTAATAATTTATAACCAATGTTTAATCAATTTTTCACACGAAGAAATAGTCTTAGATTATTGTAATTTTTTTCGAATCAAAAGTAAGTAAAAAAAAAATGTTTTTTAAACAATCGGTAAGATGGACTTTGTTCACATGGACATATATGAAATTATATTTATAAAATTTCATTAAAAATACGGACATCTTTTTATATGAATAATCGCAAACAAATGCGACATTATATATTTATAAATTTCATTTATTAGTTTATTTTTTATTTATTCTAGAGAGACAATATTTAATCAATCTTTTATTTGTTAATAAATAATTTATAATTCTTGACATTAATTTTTCGGAATATCACTTATTTGTTTTATGATTTCTATTTTATCTTTTTATCTCTAAAAGTGACTATCACATTTTTACATTTTAATTTCAATAATCTGTCATGCATGTCCAATAAACTTGTTCTAAAAATAAAAATATTTCTACATGTATTGCGATATTCTTTGCGTAACTTTTGTTTCTTTTTTTGTTGAATAATATATATTATTAAATTTTTTTACTTTAGATCTACATGTTAACATGTTTTTTTGACTTCGTGTTGTCTGGAAACGATATATATTCTATATCGAGAAATCAAATATTAAATGTAAATTAAAATAAGATTTTGTAAAAATTTACTAAAAAATGTTAAGATTATAAAAAATTCAAATTTTTACAACAAATATAAAAAAATATACTATGTTAAATTTGACGAAAGAAAATAATTTTATGCTAAATTATATTCGCGGTTGTGTACTCTCTATTATTATGACAACCGCGAAACAAACATATGTTGTGACATTTCAAGTTATTTAAAATGTATAGAAAATTAAAATGAACGATACTTTTTAATTTCTAGCATTAAAATTAATAATTTTAGTGATTATAGAAATATTTATGTATCACACATTTCATCTAATAATTATTTAAAATATCTCTTATCAGTACTTGAATTATTTGTGTTCGTCAAAAAATATACGTTTCCATTTTTCTTCTTTATTAATTCTATAAATTCTATCAATTATTGCATAAATTATTTATCTATAAATATCTTTAAATGTATTCAAACAATACTGAATTTATATATGCATATTTGTACTCTTATAATCATATTTATCACATTTAGCACAAATTAGATGGATCACTAGATTTTTTTTGTTATTTATATTGAACATACAAGCACAAATGATTTCTATTATTTTCTGAATGTAATAGCGTCTCCTGATAAAATATTTTAGGAAATGATTTCGTGTAATTAGTACTCGATGTGAATTTTTTACAGTATTTTATTTATTTATTTATTTTATTTCTTGGATTAAATAATTTTTTTTACAGTATTTTATTTAAGCAAAAGTAAAATTACTTTCTTTCGATTTACCTCTGTATGTATTTCTCTCCTCTAGTACATCACTCGCTCTAATTAATGAAAAACCAATTCACTAAATGTGTGGAGGAAACACGCGATGCTGTGCGTGATCACTTCGTCGCAGGCCTTGGCGAGAATAATGCAGGAGAATCGAGCACGCTGAATAAGAATGGCAAGCGTGTGTTCATTTCAGCCATAGACTTGTGAAACTTGTAGATGGAGACTTATACAAATAAAAATGACACTAAATGCGATGCAAGCAAGGCAAATACATTGATACCTCCAGATTGCTCTCTAAAATCTACTCCTTGAAATAATATTTAATTTACCAATCAGAATAAAAAATTTTTTTTTTGCCAATTCTTTTTCTTTGAAAATTTTTTCTGACTGGTCTATCTAACGTTCTCTAATCCAAGAAATAAATTTTGGAATGTAACTCGATATGACTTAATGCAGCCTCTTTCGCATCTCGAGTTAAATTAAACTAAATCTTGCTGTAAACAAGCGGAAATCAACAGGTTTGACGTGATAACAAACTGAACTCAAGATACATAAATTTTTGGATAAATTATAATAGTGACAGTATTGTAATTATAATAGTATTGTTAACTCCCCGAAGAAAGATTTCAATCAAAAAATTGAAACTAGAAATCCTATAGCATTTTTCATTCACAACTTACATTATAGATTAATATTTTTTTAATTATAATATATAATTATATATATTTCGTTAATTGAAGCAAATTATTTTCGAATTATGCGATGTCGTAAGTGTGTTAAAATAATCGCGACGCACATATCAAAAGTTGCTTGCATTGCACTTTATCGCAGACAGTTGATAAGAATATACAAAGAGCGACATTATTCTGAAGGCAATACGATGCAACCTTGGCGCAATTTATCTAACGATATTAAAATAGAAAAAACCGCACAAACATAAGTAGATATAAGTAACAAAATATTAATGTAATATATTCTTCTAATAAGCATACATATATAAATATATTTTTTTTCTCTGTCATATTTTATATGTAAATGTTATATAACGTAAATGTTATATATAATAATATTATATTTTTAATAAATGAAAAATACTAAATAATGCATAATACAGAAATAAAAAAGTGTATCGATTGATTGTAAGATTTATTTATTTATTTTATCTTTCGCAAGACAAGATTTTTTAAATTTATTTATATACACATTTTTTTCTCTCTTTCTCTCTTTTTCAGGGCGATAAATTGGATACAAATGCGTTAAATAATTCCGAGTATTTAAATCAATTTAAACTGTTCGACACTAGCCAAAAATTGCGTATCAAATGTGGCGTTACATTGTGTTCCTAAGTATATCGAGAATCCAGTCTACGGTGTTTATAGAAATAGGTCTTCGAAAATCGAAGTCTTTTGCAAGAGCGCTGTAATGATACGAGCGTAAGTAAAATAAAAAAACATTTTAAATTAAATGCACGAACATTAATCCAGAAATTGATTTCGTCGTGTTGCGGAACGAGACTCTCGTTAATCCATCAAATCCATAATTATGTAAAAGAAATTCAATTAATTAAATTCATAATTATGTAAATTATGTAAAAGAAATTCGATTAAACTATTATTGTTTCTATATCATTCTATATCAATCTTGCAATTCAAGAGAGCAACGCTTTTGTCAAATGAAAAACATCGATTATCACGACGTAAGCTTGAAGATAATTATGCTCCTTTTCGATTATGATAACAATATAAATTTGATTAAAATACTATAAAGTGAATTATAAAATTCTCATTTATAAATATACATATTTGAATATATCAATTGCGACGGGAATATATAATAGTATAAAATAAGATAAACTGAAATAAAATATATAATTTACTATTTTTCTTTCTCCATTTAGTCGATATAATCGACACGAATTACGATCCAAATCAATATAATCAACAGGAATTACAATCTTATGTTAATTTATTTTAATAATCTATAATTGCAGCAGAATTCTATTTATAATTTTATATTAATGTATTCTGTATCTTTACATGTTCCGTTTCTTTAAATGCTTTCTTATATTACGCTTTTTACATTATGTAATTATCAATAAAATATTAAGCTAACAATAAGTTTTCTTTAGCGAATAGCAAATCTAAAAACAGAATTTAAAAGATCTAAACAAGAAACCAAACGAACATTTCCATCAATTTAATTATATGCATATAAAAAATTAAATAAAAGATATTTTTACTATTTTCCAAAATTCGAGAAACAGTAAAATATATAAATCAATCGCAATATAATCGATTCACATTTCATCTAACTTATCGCATGCAATCGTTACGCTATTTTATAGATTCATATAAAAATAAATAAACTTATATACTTTAAAAGCGAGTAATAAATGACAGTCTAAAATTAAAGAAAAATCAATACAAAAAATAATAAAACTGAACAAAATTGTTTACCAAGTATTCTTTACAATTGATTATGCTGAATTAAATATTTTGTCACATATTTGACGTCTCTTTCTAGCCAAAGGAACTAATTTTTATTTTACTAAATAAAACTATTAATTATTACTAAAACTATTAATTATAAATAAAACGTTTACTTTTATTTTACTAATAATTCAAAATTATCCTTACCCTAAGGAGTCCTACGTCAAGTCAAACCATTGACCAGCTTCAACAGAACAATTATTGAGTGATCGTCTTATCAACTCGACATTGATTTGTTGGTTCTAAAAGTAAAAGTTAATCATATTCGAATTTTAGTCGCACTTACTTTTATCTGTATATATTTTTCTTCTCTAATATACATTCGCTCTTCTAATTCGTGAAAGATCAATGCACTAAATATATAGAAGAGACTCACACACAGCGAGTGATTGGCCTCAGCATTCAAGGAACTCAACAATTTCATATAAAAATGTAACAGATGAATTGTTGTTTATCTAAAATAAAATTGTTCAACTATCGAATCCGCTGAATGCGGTCAATGATTCGTTCCGTTCTCCAGCGAGGTAAACGTAAGACTGGCCTGAAGAACCTATCCTACGTTATATAAGTGTTAGAGGAATTGTCCGGAGGAATTAGAGGATGCTAGTTAGAGGAACGGAACAAATCATGCAACAAAACAAGTCGTTTGATAGCGATCGAACGTGATTGGTTTTACTTTTAGAACCAACAAATCAACATCGAATGTTGATAAGATGACAACAATTGTACTGATTATGCCCTCCACTAAAGGTTAGATATGCTATCGAGTGGCAGAATGTGGGCAGAATCAAACACAATTCGAAACATGGCAAAAATGTGTTGACTTAAGACATAGACTTATATTAAACTTGTAGACGAAGTCTTGTAGTAAAAGTAAAATTATAATAGCAGTAAAAAAGATAGTGTATTGACACTTTGAGATTACATTCGAAAATTTATTTATTGAAATAATATTTAATTAAACAGAATTAAATTTCTTTTTCCTTTGTAAATTTTTTCATTAAAAAAATTTTTTCTGGCTGGACAATTTAACGCTACTTTACTCCAAGAAGTAAATTTTGAAACGTAATTTGGATATACATTTATAAATATATGTAATGTTCGAATTAAAACACGTATATATTAGATAAATATTGTTAAGTTTAATCGAAATGAATAAAAAACAATGGTTTCAAAATTTATAATAAAAATCAAGATTCCTTCTTTTGCAATAAGGAATTCCTCTGTATCTACATTAATGCTATTTTTAATTATAATTTAAATCCAAATAATACATAAAAAGAAACATATAATACATGTGATAATAAATCAAATAATAATATTGTAGAATAAAGTTGTTATTTCGAAATTTAAAATTTTAATCGGTCGATTTCTTATTTGCTTAAGTTTTCCTTCCGTCGCCTCGATGCAAATTCTTCCCCTTTTTTACTTTATCTTTTTAATATTTGATATAAATTGAAACAGAGCGTCTTCTGTTATTACTTTTTGTTTTCTTTCATAGTGAGAGAGATAGAAGAAGCGAATCGAAATAAGACCCGTGAATATATAACAATTGAATATATGGCTTTTAAGTTTTTTTTTTATTTTTAATGTTTCCTCTTTTGCATCTCAAATGAAATTAAATAAAATATTGCTGCAAACAAGCGAAAGTTGACAGATTTGAGAAGATAATAAACTGAATTCGAAATATATCAACTTTCGGATAAATTAATATTGTGTTATCTTTGAAGAAAGATTTGAAAATTAAAAAATTTACTACAAATTCTATATATCATTTCTAATTCGCAACTTATTTTCACTAATCTTATAGTTTCACTAATCTTTTTAATTATATTATATTTTATTGATTGAAACAAATCTTTTTCGAATTAAATCACATTTATAATTTAAAACTATCGGGATACACATTTATACAAAAAATTGCTTATATTGTACTTTAATTTTCAAGGTATTTGAGCAAACAGTCGTTGATAAGCTTCAAAGAACGACTTTATTATAAAGTTTTAAATAAGAAAGCTTTATTCCTTCTTCAATATGTTGCTTCAAACTCTGAAATTATTATAAAATTTATTATATACGAGTACGTAACATTCTTTACAAATACTTTATAATAGCTTCTCTCTTTTTCTAATAATACATAATTTTTATTTATTAATAATACATAATTTTCTGTGCATATATATAAAGGAACAGATAAATCTAATACAAATATAAATATATTTAAAAGAGATATGTGTTTTAAAGAGATTAAGCTATTTGGACGTTTTCAGGAAAAAAATTTGCTTGTCATGCGAAATTTTACTTTGAAGATCAAAATTTTCCCATTGCTATTTCCTATTTTATTTTTATTTTGCAAACATTGCATTCGCATAGACATATGCATATTTATGACGAGTATTTATTACATATATTATGTATATAACACATAAACTCTGATTACATAAACTCTGATTACAATATTGAATAATTAAGTGATCTCCGATCGATATATTTGCTATTTACACGTTATAATGTTTTTATAAAATAATTTCTATTAATAGTGAAAATATATATAATTTTTTTCTCAAAAGATGTGTACTCTAGTGTAGAGGAAAATTACGATACTCGGCTAATACTTTAAATTCTAAATTGTTTATAATTATCCCAGATATCACACGTTCATAAAAAAGAACTTAAAATGTCTTATTGACCTTTAGACATCTTTAAGATGTTTACTAGTTTTTTTGTGCTATTTGGATCTATTCCCTGGACGTTTTCCTTATTCGTTGAAAATATAAATATTCCTGAAACAAGATAAAAATGTAAAACGTGTAGCAATTACGTAGTGTAGCAATTACAATAATCAACATAATTGTGCCGTTTAATTTTTTAAATATAATATATTGTATTTATGATTAGAAAAATCAGAAAACTATTATCGCAATATAATAGAAAATCGATCGCTTACTATCAGAAATGATGCGCCGAAGAGCAGGCTTTTCAATTTCACATCGGTATCTATTGGAAATGTGAGCAATAGAATATAATCAACCGTCAAGTGGTCCCATTGATGTATCAGCGATGCGAGTTGGCGCGATCCGTCTAACGATGTTACCTAAATGGAAAAAACGCACAAACACACATATAGTAAATAGATACAAATAAAAAAAATATTAATATAATATAATTTTTATAATAAAAATGTACATATATAATTTTATATATACACATTTTTTCCTCTCATGTATGTAAATGCACAGAAAATTATGTATTATTAATAAATAAAAATTATGTATTATTGGAAAAAGAGAGAAGTATTTGTAAAGAATTTTATAGACTTGTATATAATAAAATTTATATTAATTTCAGAGTTTGAAGCAACATATTTCTAATAAATGAAAAATATTAAAATAAAGCGCGTGATAAATAAAAAAATATTCAAGCAAAGATTCCATAATTATGCTTTTGAATTTACATCTTATATAATGTATTATTCATAGTAAGCGATTGTTTGCTACTTTCAATGCGGCATTTTTACACCTTTATCCTTTACACACGGATGATTTATTCACCTGGAACTGCGCTTCTTTAAACATGCAACAGCCGCAGACGCTGGGTCCGTATATATTACAGAGAGGTTCCTTGAATGCGTCGTACACCGTAAAGCTCGATCCCATTAAAGTAAAATTCTCCTCCACGCTACCAATGAGATACGCGCTTTCCACTGTGATTTTCTACGCAAATATTTATTTGTTTTTGTTCCAATTTATGCGGCTGACAATCGATGATTATTCTTGCTCTTTTCATTTTGGTTTCAGTTTAAATAAATATCTCTATGCATTTTATAATGGAATTTATATAATAACACAATTTATTTAATAATAAAATTTACTTAATAATTTATTTAAAATTTATTTAATAATAAAATTCTTTTATTATTATTTATTATTCTCTTATTTTATTATATATATATATATATATATATATATATACATATATATATATATATATATATATAATAAAATACTCAAAAATGTATCAAAAAGTATAGATACAAAGTATTTATAAAAATTATATATAACAAAAGAATAATAAATATTAAAAGAATATATATATATATATATATATATATATATATATATATATATATACTTTTTGATACATTTTCGAGTTACGTAATTTGACAGTTAATACGAAGCTTAACTTACCTGTCGCGATCCAACCACGTGCATCCAACTGGGTTCCTTCCGCATAATGAAAGCGGTCTCGCCGCATTGATCCAGGACATTCAGCACAAAACCTTTATACCAGCCGCACATTCGCGACTGCGTTTCCGACTTGGACTCCGTGGCAAGAAACAGCGTTTCCGCCCGTGGTACTTTCACCTTGTACTGAGTCACCCTATCCGGTCTGCGGATTACTACCGAATATTTCGCGTAAATCGTATATATATATATATATATATATATATATATATATATATATATATATATATATCTTATTCGGCTGAATTATACATATATATAATTCAAAACAATATAAATTATGAATTATATTTACAATAAAAAACGAAATATTTATTTATGTAAAACAATAATTATTTAACTTTAAAGTTCTCTCGATATATCTGAGAAAAATAACCGGTGAAAAGGTAATCAACGGATATTATCTGATTATTAATCGATCACTTTAATCGGATATCTCCTCCGATGATCGGAAAGTTCCGAATTTTGAACTTTCTGATCAGATATCCGATCGATTGATATTTTCTGATTGGATATTTGATCGGTTTCTTTTTTTTCCGATTAAAGTGATTGGTTAATAATCGAATAATATCCGTTCATTACCTTTTCACTGGTTATTTTTCTCAGTGTATAGATAAATCTATATAAATGAGAAATTTAATTTTATATTAATTTATATTAATTTTATATTAATTAATATATGTAATATATTAATATATGTTAATATATGTAATATAAAAATATATTAATTTATTTTTATCTATTGCAAGAGTTGTGGCATTTGTATTTTTGTCATTTATATATATTTTCTCTCCCTTTTAAGGCGATAGGTTGGGCACACGTAATGTGCGTTAAATACGTACTAGTACTCAAATCAATAACCTGCTGAATCTCCAACTGTTCGACGCCGGCCAAGAATTGCGTGCCGGATATCGCGTTAAATTGTGCTCGAGGTGTCGAGATCCAGTCCGTGCTGATGATGGGAATAGGTCTTCGCGGAAATCGAAGTTCGCCTTCTGCAAGAGCGATGTGACGATATGCGCGCGAATAAAATAAAAGACCGCTCGGAATTTTATTAAATGTGCCAGCAGTCGTATTAATCGAGGAAAATCGATTACGTCGAGTTACGGGGCGAGACTCTTGTTAATCCTCCACCGAAGGCCATAATTACGATGTATAAGAAGAAACCCAATTAAATTATTAATCTTTCTATATTTTTTTTTTCTATCATTATCAATTCTTGCAATTCGAGGAACGCTTGTATCAAACGAAGAAAAAAAACGCGATTATCTCAGCGTAAACTTGAAGATAATAATGCTTCTTTTATCGATTATGATAACGATATGATAAACTTCATTTAACTTAGGAATTTCCTTTTACATACAATACAATGTTCCAATATCGACGAGGACATTTAATAATGTCAAATAAAGAACAAATTGAAATGAAATAATACATTACTCTTCTTCTTCATTTAAATCCATTCGATTCCTTTTTTCCTAAGCCATAATTATTTTTATGATAATTTCCTTAGTTTTTTTAAATATCTTTTTTTTTAAATATCTTATACAAGAAGAGAGAAGAGTAAATATTTGATTGAAATCACTGGCGTTAGAAAACTGGCATTATCTTACTTCCAGCGAAGGCATATGTATTCACCTGTCGGTTGCATCGTGATGATGTTGCTGTTGGAATAAACGATCGGCGCGTTCTCCTGCATCTCTATCGTCTGCGTCCCTGTGCTCGACGTCGCTAAAGGATCCGGAAAGAAAGAAGTGTCATGTTTACTATATACGTCTTCTAAAAGATAACCGTGCCTATGATAAGAACACGATATCGCTTATTATCTGGTACCAGTCGCCGGCGATTGTTCGCTGCTCGACATCTCGTTGAGCTCTTGCGCGAAACTCCGCTCCAACGTCGGTTCCGCTTCCGTATATCGCATTATGTGAAAAATCCCACGAGACAGAGATAAGAGCGAGATGAGAGCGATCGATATCTCTCCCTCTTATTTCCGAGATTTTTACTGAAATTATTTCGATATCCACGATTTTTGCGAATCCGCGTTAAACGTCGAGCGAAAACTGTTGGCTCATTCGCGATTTAATTCTTACTAGTCTACCTTGTTATCGTCCCTGATAAATCGATCGTTTATCTTTGACGCGGATAAGAGATATCTCACGTAGATATCGATAATAATACATTTGGTCGAAACAAAAGTGCTGACCCGACGATAATCGAGAGCCAAAAATCACCAATGACGAGTTCGCAAAAAAATGCAGGAACGATTGTCCCTCTTTTCTCATCCATGATAAATGTTCAGCGATACATGATACATTTTCTTTTATATATTTTACTTTTTAATCAACTATTCATAATCTTATTCTTCTGTGATTAATTTCATAATTTAGCAGTTTATTAATTATGATTCATTAGTCGCGCAAACTATTTTTTTACAACATATATGTGACATCCTCTCTTTATTTTAATCTTGATGATATTAAGAAACATTTTGAATACCTAAAAACGTAAACACTTTTATGGATTAGTATCTACGAAAAAATAGATAATTTATGATTTGAAAAAAATGTAAACACGCATTTTAATGCATGTAAGCACATAAAGAACGTTCAGTATAAATTATGACACAATATACATAATATTACATAATACAGTCGAATCATGAAAAATACAACCGATGAAAAAAAATAAATTATTTTTTATGGAAAGAAGAAATAAACGAAAGATATAAAGAAAGATATAAGATAAATGATTATATCATTTTGATGAAAAATAATTTGAGACATAAAATATATTTTCTAAAAACGATAATTTTTTTTCGTATCGATTCTTTAGAATCATTTTCCCGGTTGTATCCATCTATTAAACCTTCCGTCTTCTTAACATTATGCGCGTACTTTAATGCACGTATTAACATAATTGCATATTCATGTTATTTTCTTATAATTACGTATTAATCATTACATATTCATAAGCCATTGACGATTTTTTATGCGTAAAATCATATCGTAATTCTAAATAAAATATTGCACTTTACAAATGTAAATAATTGACATAGTATTTATATGAATAGAAAGTGTGCGCCTTGCATTGATCTTTTATGCGCCTTCTGAATGGAATTCTCCTTCTTTGCGTGTACAATAAATTAATTCATTAGATTTAAGCTCTCTTTTCGTTCCAATTAATTTCGCAGAGAACGAAATGATATTTCCATTATCATTGGACTCTTATTCTCGAGACTCACGCGATAAGATTTTGCCTTTAGGATTACTTGTATCTCGGTTAAAAACATATTTACATGTATAAATAGATTGCACGCGCGGAGGAGTTCCATGTAAATACATAATTTTATCTATATGCATAAAATCTGGAAATATACAAAAGTCATAATTAGAAAGTGTGTTCTCTGAAGAAGCTAGAAGTGAAAAAAGAAACAAGATCTCGACTATCTCGTAAATTGAGTAATTTGCAACTTTTAACTCCAGTTTGTATCTAATAATGTCTACGTCTTTCATTACAATTTCTTAACTAATTTTTTTTTACTTATAATTAGCTACTGAAGAAAGTAAGCATAAAAATATATGCGGCCTCCAATGTTAATTTTTTTTATCAAATATATTTATCTATGTTTTTATGACCATATTTTCATTTCAATGGCTTCTTTTATTTTCAAGTGTCAATTGATTTTATTACTTTGATGTCCTTTTATTGCTCGAGACGGACTCAATGAAATATTCTGCCGCAGTTTTTCACTTCTCCAAGCATCCCTCCCAGAGCAGACGCACGATCGTTAATTGCAAGCTGCATTTTCAAAATTGTCACGAATAAGAATTTTCCAAACTGGCAAAAATCGATAGTTAATACACCTAGGCCGAGATAAACTGAAAAAAAAGTATGTGGTACTATTTGATTGGCCGAGATTAAGCAGAAAAATTAAAGATTTCCAAGGAAAATTCAATTAAAAATTTAAACTCATAATTTAATTTGCTTGCTGCCATGGAAATTTCTTCTGTCTTACAAGACAAATTCGCGAAGCGAAGCAGCATAGAATTTTCCAATCGGTGTGTTTTTTCTCTTTATATTGCACACGACACACCTCGCCTATGCTCTCTTTACTTGTTGCTGCCGGTAGCTGTCAAAGTACCATGCGCGTTTCTATCGATCTGTGCCTTCTCGCCCTATATAAAAGCCGCCGCCATTGGCGGTCCTCCTGGTCGACAGAGAACAGGACGGGATTCCATGCACATCGGGGGAATTGTCGTCAACGATATTGTGACATAGTAAAAAAATTTGAAAAAAAACGAAAAGAAAACTTGGTCCGAGTTTATCGAAGGGTATCACGCGGATGAGACATTAAATCGACCAGGTAGGTCCCATCACGAGTGCCGAAAGACTTTCGATTAATTTTCAGCCAATTCATTTCTCGCTCGACAGTTTTTGCTCGTCGTCGTCGATTGTAATTCATATGTGTGTTCCTCGTGCAACGCAATTAAAATTAAATTAACGCACCTAAAATTATATCTGATATAATTGTACATCAAGAGAAATTCTATCATTGCTGGCCGCCCTCGCGATTTCGAAAATAATCTCGGAATGCCATTTTTCCGGAGGCGAAATTGTGAAACTCATACTTTATATATTATTTCCTGTAATATTGTTCGCGTTGAAAAAATTCGATCGTTGTTCGCCGATTGCGAAACATAACTCAGGCAAATACGCGACTGCAATCGCAACGTCGAATCGTCATCTGATAATTGAACTCGCATTGCAAATATTTGAGCCATTCATTTTAACTTAAATATGATATAATTTACTTAATGTCATGATTAACGATTTATTTTCATAATATAAATTTTGAGAACAAGAAATTTGTGTACATAATTTCTCGCTTAATAAATGATTATATTATGCTACTCATATTAATGATATCAGAACACAGATAAGATATCTCATATCGATTATTATTTATGAGAATTACATATAATTAAATTATATATATATTTAAATATTTAAATTATTTTACTTTAATGTTTACATTATTTTATTATTAAATAATTTTATTATCAAATTATTTTATTAATATATTATTATAAAAAAATTTATAATTTATAAATTATATAATTTTTTATTTCAGTGACATGTAATTTAACCCATAATCTGTAGTAGGTTGATCTCTAGCTTTATTTAATACAATGTAATGTAAATTTTATTAACGACATTTAAACGCTATTCAGAAAATGTTAAATGTCACCTCAAATATTTGTGAACCATATATGCGACAAATTTGCAATACATTACAATTTATGTGTAATTTCAATTCAACGAACGGTACGTTTATCGATCCGGAAAGAGACGTTTATACTGCGCGACGGTAGCTTATATTTGTGTGTATTTAATTGCTTCGTTACAGTTTAATTACTTAATTTAATATAATTTATATATAATTCTTTTATATTTATTTAACAAAGATGCACTCAACTCTTTTTTTAATTACTCAATTATACTAACTATGTTTGAGGAATTTTTTCATAATAAAAAAAATTTTTCTCCTTTATTCCTTTATTCTATTATCTTTATATTCTATTATGTTTTTTTACCTTATTATTATTTTGCTTACAAACTTACATTATAATTTCCAATTATATACAAAGTACGAAGAATTTTTTTTCGAGTATAATAATTGGATCGTAATCTTGTTTTGTCTTACGCAGTTGCGTTACATTGTCCCCGATACATCTTCATTCGCGCGAAGGACTTCGCTACCCTATTAATAAAATCGATATTAGCTTAGTGCAGTATGTAAAATAAATATATTCAACATACTTATATATTGAATATATTTATATATATTTATTATATAGAATTTATTCTTACGATTGGAGGGTCTAATAAAAAATTTAATCTAGGAATTTATTCGTCAAAATTGAGATTATATAAAACGTGAGATTCATTTTACTAGACAGATTAATAAAGATTATTTTTCAGTTAAAAATTTTTCAAACAAACATAAAATAATGTAATCTTCATTATTTTCACATACATATAAATTAAAGCTATTTATGTAAACTAATATAATTTTTTCACAAAAAATATAGATAAAGAAATATGTGTAATAGGAAAATATGTATTCTTTTACAAGAGAACGTTAGAGAGAAGAAATAAATTCGTCAATTGTAAAAAAATTATTAAATGATCTCGAATTTATATCGATTGCATAAAACTACGTTTCTGCCGGCCAGTTCGAGCATCAATGGCATCGCGAAGGTGGATGCTGACGCTTCTGATCCTGGGAGCCAGCGCGATCGCGTTGGTTCCCGCGGCTCGTCAAGCAAGCCGAGAGTCTCTCAGAAGTGCCCTGGATGCTGTGGCGCGAAAGCAGAGATCTCTGGACGCCGCAGACTCACCGGAATACTATAACGATCTCCATTCGTTCAAGTATCACGGCGGTGGCGCCGATCGCAAGTTCGATCGCGACTTCGACGAGGACGACGAGGAGATCGAGTTCTTGCCCGGCGGTAAGAGCGAAAATGAGAGGGTTTAAGAGAGATTTCTCGTTACGTAAAAGTGAAGCCCGCCAAAAATCCTCTTCTATCGATCTTGATATATTTATATAACGCGACTAGAAGCATTTTTATGAATTTTTATATAATATTAAATTGTATAAAATATAATTTTGTATATTATATAATATAACTTTATATAATATTAAATTTTTATATAATATTGAATTTATATTTTGATTAATTTCATCGTGATTAACAGATAACGGTCAGCTAGAAACTGCGGGGGAGGGTCTCCAAGGCCTGAACAATAAATTGTTCGAAAGAGCTCTGCTCGATTATTTGGAGAATCTACCCGAACAGGTAAATTATTTCATTTGTCAAGTAAAGAAGGCGGGTAATAATAGAAACGATCAAATTTTTTTAATTTCCAAACCGCGAAATTAGATCGAGCTAATTTCTAGATAATTGGTCAGGATAATTAATATTTTTACAGGAAGAGCCGGTAGCCTCGATCTTTCGCGAACGCGAGCGAAGTGGCAGCCGCAAACGAGGCGGCGCCGGCGATCGATTGAATCTGGACGACAAGGATCTGGCGAGGCTATTCGTGGAGGAAATACAGAATGGCTCTCCGTATGATCCGCTCGACGAGAGGGATGCCGAAAAATATTTAACCGCTTTACAAATGCTTTACGACAGATACGGAGCTGGTAGAGGGAACAAAATATACGAGTGAGTCGGATTCCCGATCAGTGTTGCAAATTTCTCCGGTCCAAAATTATAAGAATTATAAAATTATATAAAATAATAAACTTAAAAATAAGAAACTTTTAGTTAATTTAATTTAATTCAATTTTTATTCATGTAAAATAATGTAATTAATAATAATATGAATTCTGAATAAATTTTAATTTAATTTCGATAGTCACGAAATTTTTTTTTTGATAGATGCCGAAAAAATTGCACTCATATCGCCAAAATTTCATTGTTTTCGCAATAAGATTTCTATCTCATTAGGGAGATAGATATTAATAAAATAAGCCTGCGAGAATTAATTACAAAAAGCAGAGTAAGTGAATCTGATAGATTTTTTGGCGCTGAATCTGGTCGCATAATTTTTCCAGCACATCAGGTTTTCATGTAATTTATAGTTGAACAATCCAAAAATGACTATTTCAATAAATTTCGTAAATTTATTATAGAAGAACCTAATTTTTTGAAATATTGCTTCAAATGGCATCGTATAGTACTAATCTTCACCTTTCAAATCCATTTTCGATCGTCGCTGCACTATTCTTTTCGCTGAGATATACAAGTATGAAGTCGTAAGAAAATTTACAGAGGCATCAATATGGCATATTGATGGCAGATCCGCCATCTTGAAATTTAAAAAGGCTTACATCTGTCAGGTTCGATTATCGAATAAAGTCCTGTAGAATATATCTAATACAATTTTTACACATTGTGATAAATGTTTCCAAATTTGATATATTTTTATTATAATTCTGTCCGCCATATTGAATTCGTCAGTTTTAATTTCCAAAAATGACAGGCATTCAAAAATTTATGTTTTTATCCAAATTTTGATTCGTAATAAGAGGTAAATTGACTTGGAAATTATTAGACGATTGTACATGATCAGTCTTATAACTTGTATATCTCAGCGAAAAAAAATCGTGTGGCTACAATCAAAAGCGGATTCGATAGGTGAAGACTAATATTATATAATGCCATTGGCAGAGATATTACAAAAAATTAGATTCCCTCATAATAAATTCAATAAAATTGAAATAGCCATTTTTGGACTATTTAACTACAAATTACTCAAAAATCTGGAGAAAATTTGGAGAAATTCTGCAGTCAGATTCGTTTTCAGCGTCAAAAAATCTATTCACTTGCTCTGCTTTTTGTAACTAACTAAACCTAAAATTTCGCAGGCCTGCGTAATTGTTAATATAATTTAAAAAAAATATATTTTTATTCGACAGAACGGCAGGACCAATGTCTTGGGGCGAACTGCTTAGCAAAGACTCGTCATTAAGGAAGAACGATGACGAAGAATTCGCGGATCAGAATCAGAATCAGAATATCCTGTACTTGCCTCCTACGTTGGAACGTAGGAACGTGAACGGTCGATATCCTATCGGTCGCGAATTCAGCAACTATCGCAGGCTGACGAAGCGCTATCCGGTCGCTAAGAGAAGCCCCAGACCCACTCAGACTAAGCTAAAGACCACGGATCCTAAGGTGATACATTAAAAAACAGTATATCCTATACTTCGTTTAAGGATAAAAGGGATGATATTATTTATAATCAATGAAAAATTAATTTTTCCCTCCCCACTCAATATATAATAAGTTCATTAATTCCTGAGTCGTTATTCTGCTATGACGAATTTTTTTTTAATCGCAACACTCTACATCAACATATATTTTCAAATATATTCTTATAAAAGTGTAATATATTAATATATTAAAAATGTAAAATATTATACAATTTATATAAATACACATTTAACGATACATTGCAAGGTTGCTCAAGACCTGGGAGCTCTATTCGGCACGCAATCCACGGACGCGCATAATCATACTCATAAATCCGATCACGATCACGATCACGAACACGAACACGACCACGAACACAGTCACGAATACGATCACGAACATGATCACGTACACGATCACGAACACGAACATGATCACGGGCACGAGAGTACATCCGAAACGCCATCGAAAGTGACACCGTCTCCAAAGGATCAAAAGGAAAACGTTACGAAACAGGCCAAATCGAAATTCGTCCAAGTCAGAAAGAAGAGTGTCGATTGGTCACAATATTTCGGCATCGATCGTAGAAAGAAGAAGGCTACTTTCACGGCTGGACAGGGCACGCAAAATCAAGACGACGAGTGGATGTTGCAGCGCTATTACGAGGTATATATCGAAAATATTGCAATTTATTATTATTAATAATAATAATATTATTATTATTAATATCTTTATTATTAATATTATTAATATAATTAATAATATAATAAATCATTTTTATATATTTTTTAAAAAGGATATTAATAATAATAATAATAATAATAATATCCTTTCTAAAAAATATATAAAAATGATTTATTATGTACATTATTAATTAATTTATTTATTTATTTTAAATTATAATAAAAATAACAGCTCACGGTTTTTCTTATGGAATAAATGATAATTAAAACGTTTGTAAATCTCGACAGAATATGGCTGAGAATTTAAAACCAAAGGATGACGAGAATGAAGAAAAGGATAAACTTGAGCAGATGGATTCGAAATTGAAATATATTAAAGACTTGATCATCGAAGAAGCTTTGAAATACGCCAATTTGGAAGACGAGGGGGATTTGCAGAAGGTTTTGCTTTATATTTTTCGCGACGTAATTTTATGTGACTATAGAAAAAAAAATAAATTTAATATATATAAAAGAAAACGCGAAATTTTCTCGGAGAGAAAATCTCTCATTTTCAAAATTATTAATCATTTCACAATTTGAATATCAACGCTTTCAGAAAGCATAATTACAATTAGATTGAATTAATTAATATTCTCTACATTATAATTATATGATTTGAATGAAAAATATAAAAGAAAGATACATAAATTATTAAAAATTGATAATCGATGATTATCAAAATTAAATCAAAATTAATCAAAAATGTCAAAATAAAATAAAATTAAATTAAATTAAATTAAATAAGATTTATAAAAATGTTTAGGTGAAGGATAAGTTAATGGCGCGAATGGCAGCGGCTTATTCGCTGCAAAAGATGCGTAAGGCGCTGAATGAACTCCGAAATAATGTCGCGGCTCAGAAGGAGGCACAAAGAACGCAGAAGGAGGCGCAGAATAATATGACATCGAGTTTCCGCGAGAATAGCAACGGCCCTAACAGTAACACCGGTAACGGGGGTAGAACGGATGATAAACGGAGCGGCATCAATAATAATATAGACGACGGCGAATGTAAGTGTGCGAAAAAAGAATAGAGAATCTCGTTCAGAAGATTAAAATGTAAATTAGAACGGAAGCTCCGAACCTAACTCTAACAATGAGAGCACTCACAGAACATCAGGTTTTATCAATTTGCTAAATGAAAATTTTCACAAAGACTTTTTCTGTAAGTTTTAATCTCTTTGAACTACTTTTTTACAAGTTTATATATTAAAAAACAACTATATATAAAATATTTATAAGTTTGACGATTTATTCTCCTTCTTTAAAATCTTTGAATTTATATCTTCTTTGACTTTATATCTTTATAATTTTTTATAATCTATAATTTAAATAATTTAATAATAAATTTAATAATAAATAATTTAATAATAAATCTATTTAAATAACAGTTTTATAAATTTGTATAATATACAATTGTTTGAATTATATAGCTATCGAGGAACCTAGAAGCTGCCCGGAATTAGAAGCTATTGAATGGCGATGCCGAACCGTGGACACTCTCACCGGCGATACATCTCGGATGCTTTACGTGCCCTGCGTAAAGCTACAGATCTGTAAAGCTTGCGTATGTACATAGAATCTACACTTTTTGCATTTCACAAACTTTCAATGATATAATATTGAGAGATCACAAATTTAATTCAACGGCCGAAAATTTCAAAAAATAAACGAAAAATATCATTTAAATTCATAATTCCAAGAATTTGTCTTCAAACATTTTTTAAATATAATAAAATAAAAATAAACTATATCGACGAAATACAAATTCCATGCTCTGCGGATTTAATTTCTCATATGGGAAAAAATTAAAACGGTATTTTGATTAAAACAAGTTTCGCAGAATGTAATGTTCATTTCATCGATATATCCAGAGAAAATTTATTCAATATTACAAAATATATTAAATATTATATATTCTTTTTATAAAATATTAATGTAATATAATGATATTTATTATAATATTAATATTTATTATTAATTAATATTAGTCAATAATATTAATTATATTAAGAAATTATTAATAATTAATTTTAATAAATAATTTTAATATTTATTATATTTTTTTTCAATAAAATTCTCTCTCTAATATTCTAATACTTTCTTCATATATTATATACAGATACATCACAGATGTTATATTAAGTGTAACATCTCTGATAAATCTATAATATATTTGAAAAAAGTACTAGAATATTCGGGAGAATTTTATTAAAAAAAAGTGTAATAAATATTATTAATAATATATAAATCTTATTAATTATTGTTAAATATTATAATAAATTAATCATTATTAATAATTTTTTAATATAATCAATATTATTAATATATTAATTAATAATAAATAAATATTAATATTAAAATGACTATTATTATATTACATTAATATTTTATAAAAAGAATACACAATATTGAATATACATAATTATACTATAATTTAATATATTTAATATATACACTGAGCAACAAAATTAGCGCAACAAAAATTTTTATCAAAATTTCACTCAATTTTAAATAATCATAACTCCGCGAAAAATGGTCGTATCAGAAAAATATTTTAAAGTTTGAAGTCTCTACTTTAAAGAGAATTTGTCATATTTTGACTTTCTCCTTTCCTCCCTCCCGTTATCTCTTTAAAAGTAAGGTCATGTTTTATTTTAAAAGTTTGCATATTTTGACGCGCTCCACGGGGTGCAATGAATTTTTCTCGCAAACGTTATAAAAATTACCGTAGAATATAAACTTTTCCGCACAAATTAAAAAAAAATTGAAGTCTGTACGATTTTTTTTGGCGGAGTTATGAATGTTGACACACCACGAGGAGGTTGCTGGTCGGATTTTGTTCGTGTGTGTGTATGTGTGTGTGTGTGTGTGTGTGTGTGTGTGTGTGTGTTGGACGGAAGAAATGAGACATATTGCACGGAAGAAATGTATATGTTATTGCATTTAATAATGTGTATTCCGAACGTCTTCAGGAAGTTATTCAAAGACGGAGGCGGGAATACACATTATTAAATGCAATAACATACACATTTCTTCCGTGCAATATGTCTCATTTCTTCCGTCCAACACACACACACACACACACACACACACACACATTGCACCTCGTGGAGCGCGTCAAAATATGCAAACTTTTTAAAATAAAACATGACCTCACTTTTAAGGAGATGGCAGGAGGGAGGAAAGTCAAAATATGACAAATTCTCTTTAAAGTAGAGACTTCAAACTTTAAAATGAAAAAAAAATTTTCTGATATGACAATTTTTCGCGGAGTTATGATTATTTAAAATTGAGTGAAATTTTGATAAAAATTTTTGTCGCGCTAATTTTGTTGCTCAGTGTATATAATTTTACTTTATCATTACAGGCGCAGGACGAGGAAGGACTGCTGCCCTGCCTCGCGAATTACGCGTCGGAGGCCGGCAAGGTGTGCGACGCGTTGGACTCCAGGAAAGGACAGTCGTTGGGTCGATTGACGGCAGCCGCGACTCACGACTCCGTCGAGCGACAGTCCTGCGCGAACGCCGCGTTGCTCCTGTCGCAGCTGCAACCTCCCGCAACCGCGGCCGCGCAGTGTCGCGCGCGAAACGCTCGCGACTCCTGCCTGCGACGTTATCACGCGCGATACGAGCACCGTTTCTTCCGGGCGTCGCCGGCGTACGAGGCGTCGGCGCCGGGGCGCCGTCCGCACCACGCCGGCGCCCTGGACGCGCTCCAGCAAACCATGTCCGAACGATAAGAACGAGACCCGACGACGGGGAGGCTTCGGTCCCGCGCCGGTGATACGGCCTGACCGCCAATTGTCCGGATGTTGCCGAAGGATTCGTTTCCTCTCTGAATCATTTCCGAGATTTCGCTATCCAGAGAGATCCTTTATTTGAGATTTTTATTGATTTTTATCGAGACACTCTGTTGTTATTTGTATCGTTTGACAACTGATGCTTTGAATTTACCTCCTCGGTTCCCTGAGGATGTTTCTTCCGGATAATCAGCGGCTTACCGTAACAGCCCATGCAGCACAGAACATTGTAACATTGCAGCAATGTTGCGGCAATATTACAATGTTGCTGCAATATTGCTGGAATGTTACAGCAATGTTCTGTGCTGTATGGAAGGATGTTTGCAAGAACGAACCCATACAACATATTGTTATAACATTACAGAAATATTGCAGCAGCATTGTAATATTGCCGCAATATTGCCGCAATGTTACAAGAATGTTCTGTGCTCTATGGGAAACATGAATCGAGAAATTAACTCTCAGCGGATATCATAAATTATTTATAATATGTATACAAGTTTGTCTCTGATCATGAATTATCATAAATTACGACAGGTTTCTGTGATTTAGTGACTACATTTAAGAAAAAAATTATTCAAAGAACGGAATTTAATCATATCATCTTGTATGTATGTGTGCGATATGTAATGTAAATATATGCGTGGAAGGCTTCTTTTGCACTTTATATTGCCGTAATGTTTCATTTTTAATTAATTTAATACCAGGTTTCGAAAGTTCCCCGGTATCTGCTGAGAGTTAACGGGCTGGCACAGAAAGGTTGTTCTCGAATCAAAATAAATTGGATCGAAATAATTTTTATTAAAATTATATTATTAGTAAAAATTATATTATTTGTCGGAAGAAGAATCAGGAAGAAGATGATAAAAAAAATAATAATTTGAAACGTCCATTTTCTTTCGATTCGAGACCACCGAGAATTCAGGTCTCGAAGAAATACGACTCGACTTGATTCTGACAGCTCCTTTTGCACACGACGCTCCTTCGTGATTTTACATATAAATTCTTTGTCGGCAAATTTCCAGAGAATCCCGAATTAAAAAAGAAAAGGAAAAAAAAGAATTTCAAATAAAAATAAAAAATATCTATCCAATTAGCGAAATAACGTTTATCTGTTAAGAGAAAATTGAGGAATCTTGAAAATTTGAAAAAAACAAGTAGAGAAATAATATATTTAATTAATTCAACAAGGCGTTTTATCTATGTATGCGAGGTGTATTCATTCGCGCGGCTTTTCAGACCAGGACCTCCTTTCTCTTCCGCTAAACTGAACAACGAGATTTAATGAATTATAGGGACAATAATAATGAGACCCGCAACACACAGATATACAGATCCACGACTACACCGAACGTGTCGTTTTGCGTACGTTTGAATGACAGTCTGGACGAGCGCCTCGCAAATGAAATTAGGCGCACGAAATCAAACACGGAGAGAGAAATACAAGTATATGTGTATAAATTAAGTATCTTAAGTATCTTAAGAGCAAGAAAACGAAAAAAAAAGTCTCCTCTAGCGCCTCCATACTTCGCGCGCGTAACTTCCGTATATGTGTAAAAAGAAAAAAATTTACTCGCGTCGGGAAATTTTAGCGAGGATAAGATTAGCGCCGATTTTGTTTGTTTATATGATGAGTTTACGCACGCTCTGATATATGCACCGAGATTCCCATACAGCACAGAACATTGCAGTAATATTGCGGCAATATTGCAATGTTGCTGCAATGTTACAATATTAATAATATTGGAGTAATATTGCGGTAATGTTACAATAATATTAATAATATTGGAGTAATATTGCGGCAATGTTGCTGCAATGTTGCAACAATATTAATAATATTGCTGCAATATTCTGTGCTGCACGGGTTGACAGATGAAGAGGGAAACACGGGAAGAGGGAAGGGGAGGAGGAGAGAAACGAAGGGAGATCCTCGACGCAGCTTCCATCGAGAAAGTCTATCTTTTCGCGAAAATCTAATATCTCCATTACTGTCTATTGTATCAAGCGTTTACGTTATTAACGGATACACGGTCGATGTGTCAGTCCTATATTCAAAGTGTAATAAATATATTTCAACATAAATACCTTCTCGTGATTGACGCGCGATCCACCGATGATGTTATCATCATCAAAACCGGGATAATCCCCGGGTTCGGAAACGGTCTGCAGCATTTCCAATATCTCCAGACATTGTGGCTTGTAGAGCTTTAGTAATTCCAGTTGCATCCTCGCGCAATCAACTGCAATAATCGTTCTTAATTGAAATTGAATGTTTTTAAGAATAATTAAAATTAATTTTTTATTAAATTTTATTAAATATTAATATATTAAATATTATAATATTAAATATATAATATTAAATATATAATTAAAATATATATTAAATAATATTAAATATATAATTAAAATATATAATATTAAATAATATTAAATATTAATATATTTAATATTATTTAATATTATTAATTAATTAATGATATTAATTTTAGTAATATTTAATAAAAAATTCATCTCAATTAAATTAATATTAATATCATTAATCTTGATAAAAGCCTGAAAATATACTCACTTCTCAGCTTCGATATCTGTTCGAGCCTAATTTTCAATTCCATCTGCGCTTTGCTGATCTCATCGAGCATCTCTTGATAGGAATTCTCCGACATAGCTGCAAGAATGAATTATTAATGAGGATCAATTAACTTAATCAGACAGATCGCGATTCACTTACCGATATTTATGTGAAAAAGGCTGCAGAACTCAACGATTTCTTAACTTCTGAAAAAAGAAAATGGCTAATGTTGCCGCCAACACGTGACTGTGACGTATCAGAAGGGCGTTCGAAAAACTTTCGTCGACTTATCGTCGAAAGCAGTGACGTTTGCTCGACCAATCGGAAAGCTTGGCTTCCTCCGTCCTGATTGGCTAATCAAATCCGACTGTCTTCGACGAGTAAATTTTCGAACACGACCTACTCCATTCAATCGCACGTCACGTGCGCTGTTTTTGCAGCTGTCTTTCAAAACATGAGACTTTAAATCGGCAATTTTTTGTCATATTTCATCAATTGTCAGGATCTGTAATTATTGGAAAATTATCAAGCAGTGCATCGTGCTACTTAATTTTTCGCTCAATCCAGGAAATTCCTTTGCATTTTTTTCGCAAATTTTTAACCTTCAAACGAATGCTGCTGCTGGAGTATTAATGAAATAAAATACATTAACATGATAAATAAACGCACATAATTAATCGTTTACGATCTAATCCCTAGGTCGATGCGTTGCACATTTTTCAAGAAGAAGATGTATCGTCTCTGATGACGAGTAGACCTGCGCGATGACGATTATGAAACGACGATTACATCATGACTTCTCGTCACTCGTCGCATCAGCTGATTGTTACGTCGCTTGTCAAGGCGCGCAATAGCAGTAACGGAGGAAGGGAAAAAGGAGGGGAAAGGAGGAAGAAGGAAGGCAAGAATAGGGTCCAAACTCCAGACCATGCGGATTCCCGCTGCGCTCGTCGCGCTCTTCGCTCTTCGTCCATCAACGTTGGAGGACGTCGGCGTTGTAGGTCGAGTTCCTCATGGTCGCGATCACCACGTGTCGCGCCGCCGCGGTCCTCAGGGCCGTGATACTCGGCGCACCGGCATCCGGCAAGGGCACCGTGTCCGCGAGGATCGTCCAGCAGTTCGGCCTCGCACACATCTCCAGCGGCGACAGGCTGCGTCTCCACGTGTCCACCAGCACCGGTTCGTGTCGTCAGTCCTCGCGATGATATCTACTCGAGGCATTAATTTGGAGAAAATTAAAATTCCAGATCTTCTTCTTCTCTTCTTCATCTCTTCTTTTCTCATCATTCATCTATAATCTCAATAGCACATGTCTTTATTATCTGAAACTTTTAATTTTAATTTAATTTTAATTTAATTTTAATTTTAATTTAGAAAAATGAAATCCTATTTAATTTGATAATTAATTAGATGCATTGTACTTAGATTGTGCTCTATTTACAGATCTAGGTAAAGAGGTAAAGAGATACATGGACAGTGGCAGCTTTGTACCAGATGATACAATGATATCCCTCATCAGCGAGGAGATCGAGTTGGTGGTGGATCGGAATTGGCTGCTGGATGGTGAGTGAGGGAAATGACGCTGTCGCATCTTGACCGTCATAGTGAAGGTCATCTTGACTAAGTTTTTTAAACGTAAACATAAATATCTTGGCATCGGTACAGGATTTCCGAGAACGTTGACGCAAGCGAAACGGTTGCAGAATCTACAGTCGATCAATCTCGTCCTGAATCTTGTGGTGCCGACCTCCGTCATACTAGACCGCGTCAAGAGTAGGTGGGTTCATTTGCCCAGCGGCAGGGTCTACAATATCGGCTTCAACGATCCACGAGTGCCAGTAATTAAGTCATAAATATTATCGCCTATTATATTTTAAATATGCAAAAAGAATATAAAATAAAATTATATAAGCGACCTAATATTATGCTTTTACATTGATTATAACATAATAGAACTTGCATAATATTTTGAAACAATAGAGTCTTCTATTATGCCATAAAATAATGGACCTTTATTAATTTACAACATAAACAATCGAGCGTTTTTTTAAATGCGTTAAAATTTTTCTGTAGGGCAAGGATGACGTAACAGGTGAGCCGTTGAGTCAGAGAGAGGATGACAAGCCGGAAGTCGTGCAGAAGAGACTGCAAGACTACGCGACGAAGACTGAGCCGGTCGTCCAGTTTTACCGCGATATTGGAGTATTGAAGGACTTTCACGGTAACACTACAAACGAAATGTGGCCGAAAATCAGAAATTGTATAGCACAATATTTTTGAGTTTTAGATCAATTTTCTAAGCAAATAAATTTAAATATAACACCATATTTTTGAGTTTTAGATAAATTTTTCTAGGCAAATATATTTAAATATAGCAAATGATTGTCTCTCGGATAGATTCTCCCTCTTTCTGTGCGATCCTTAAATAGATCTATTTAGAATTTTAGAATTAGATCTGATTGTAAAATATCTCTTCTTCAATCTAATTCTTGTAAAGCTTGGCAATTCAATATTATACCTACCCAGTAAACATAGATATGTAACTGTTACATAACATGTAATGAACATATAGATTTACATATACATTTATAACATAATGTTATATGTTACATTACAGTTATATCCCAGTTATAGCACAAATAAATCTGTGCTCATGATAATAATCAAGAACTAATTTTTATAAATTTGTTTTATAACTATACTTTCTTCCTGTGAATGAAGATTTTTCATTCCTCTTTAAATATATTCAAAATTCTTTGAGAGTAAGTTTTATAAAATATAATTTTTAATGTTTATAATATTTAATATTTAGAAATAAATTAGAATTTTATATTCTATATTCTGTGATAGATTGCTATAATAAAGCTAATATTTATTGAGAAATAAGCAGAAATTTTTGAGGGATCTGAGAATATCTTGAATTTTATATCAAATTTATATTAGATAATGATTTTTATATTTTAAGAATATATGTGAAAATATTGTGTCCTGAAATTTATCTTAAATATGGAGAACTAGTTTTGCATGTATCAAATAAGCGGATCATTTTCGCATTTATTTGTAAAAAATAAAATATATTTTTACATATTATTATTTATAGAAAATAAGTGACACATTATAATATTTTATGTAATGTGCGTTTCTTCCAATATTTTAATATCTTATGAACAGCTTTATTATGATGTTTGTAATAATTGTGATAGTTTAACAATTCGTAAATCTTGAAAAAATAAAATTAGCGCGAATATTTTTATTTTTATTAGAGATGAAATTTGTTATCTCCTCAAAGAAGAAAATGAATTGAAATTTATTTTTCACAAATTTGTCTAATAATAATGTAAATTTTGTGATATTTTAACGTGATCATTCTATATATACACGAAAAATATAATAAAATATTGTTTTACAGTGTTAGTCAAATCTGATATTATTTTTATTTAAATTATGAATTAATTATGATTATCTATCATAAATAATATGTTACGTCTTGTTATATAATTATATTGTTATTCATTATTGTTATTTATTAAAGCTCTATTCTGTTATTTAAATTTATAAATTTTATTAAATATATATATTTTTTATAATGTATTATTATTGAACTTTTTTTAAATAACAGTTATGTCTCTATAATCTTATTTTTAATCTGCTAATTTTAAGTTTTATTTTAATAATATATATATATATATATATATATATATATATATATATATATATATATAATATACACACACACACACACCACACATATATATAAATCAATATTATATCCTGATTTTATAAAAAAGAAATATTAAGATGCAACATTTCTTATATAGATTATTATTTTTTAATTTAATTTTAGTTTATTTTTATTATTTTTGATTTTTTATTTTAAATTTAAGTGATGTATGTGTTACTTTTTATTTATATGTAGCTAAACTTTTTATTATGATATACGATTTATATATATATATATACAATTATAAATAATTTTAAAACCGACTGTTTTAGTAAATTTGTGGTCTAACGTGTTCTGTTACACTCAAAATGATCTTTCCATCGATAATACTAACATTTTTATTTAGGATTTCAATTTGCGCACCGTGCGTATGATCTCAAATAATAAGCACTCTTATCATGTAACAACACAAAGGGGACGCGTACTATTACGTTACGCGCAATTTGCATTTTTATTTACACGTATCAACGCACACACGCATAAATCACATGACTTGCATATACGCAATATCGTATTGACAATAATAATAGATGTTTAATTGAGAATAAATGCATGTTTTTGACGCAATATCGAATTAATACAATAGAATAAAAATGCAACAAGATTTTGCAATATGTTTAAATGCTCAAGGATAATTAATCAATTCATCAATAATAATTGTACTTAACGCGAGAGAGTTACATATATAAATTCACTTACAAATAGTAACGAATATACAGTGTCCTAAAAATATATAAATCTCTAATAAAGGCATATTTTTTTCCTAGTGAGAAATTATCGAAGCATAATTTAAGAATGCTTGAGAAAGATTTTTCGCAATATTTATTTAAATACTTTTAAAATATCCTGTATTTACTGTGTCGTGTTAATTTTCAGTTAGTTTTCCAAAGTGTGTTAAAACAAAATTGAAAAAAATACAAGTTGTTTATCGATTGATCATTTTTTCCCCCATGAATATAATATATATTTGCGAGCAATTTGCTTGATAAAAATTCATATAATGCACTATATCAAAGATATAGGTAATTATTTTAGTATTAATCGCTATATAATCGTCACACATTTCTCATTTTATTTCCAACGTATACAGTATTATCGATGTAAGAGAGATATATAACAACGTTCAATATTACGCGTACATCTTTAACAATATGAATAAAATATTTGCATATACATATACATATATACACATATGTATATGCATATACAGGATGAGGCATATTTTTCCAATAGAGTACACATCTAAATAATTTACACTAGTCCATTTTATTTTTACTTTTATATATATATTTATTTATTTGATATTTTACTTATTTATTTATTTATTATATATATGTTTAGAATTATAGAATTTTATTTGTCATCACACTTGAATATATTCTGCTTACTTTTCTTTTCCTTTTAATCCTTGAATAATTTCGGAGCACGAAAAATTAATAATTTTCTATTCTATCCTATTCTATTCTCTTCTACTTTGAATATTTTTGTCACGCTATCGAAAATTTGCGGGAATATTTTTAAAGATAAAATAATATTTAAAGATAGGATTACATAGTAACAAGGAAAAAATTCGCCCAGAGTTAAAATGTTTGAAATTTCAAAAATTTCATCGAGATCTCGTTAAGTATGTATTTTTAAATTTCAATTCTTTTATTTATAGATATATAAATAGATACAGATGTGTCAGATCTTTCTTAGACGGATATTTAGGCGTACACTATTAGCTGCTTCACCCTGTATGTATTCACATTACTAACGAATCCCTCGTTATTCCTTTCTCAAAGCAAAAATTACTCAGGACTTATTCAGTCGTAAAAATAAATTAACTAAATAATTAATGCATTATTATATTTTCCTTTAAGTAAATCAGACTTGTGAGAATTGTCACATTTAAATATCCGCGTGGGATTTTCGTTCCATATATTTTAGAAACAATTTAGTAAAAACTTGTTATCACTTGTTAAACTTAAATATCACAAAATGTGTTCGATTTAAATTAAATACAATTTGTGATGTCCATCGTCGCAAAACTGTTTCAATATACAATCAAGGAGTTATGATCTACGAACGTCGTGCTTAACACGAAATTATGCAATGCGAAATAAATAAATATGATTATTAATGAATTATTATGCGATATTAAGTTATATCAAGTTAATTATTACTAAGGAGTAATAAAATGATGAATGAGAATTTCGACATTGTGTATAATCGGATGAGAAAAATTGTGCATTCTCATTGCGCATAATATATACATATTATATGATCGAAAAAATATACAGTCAGCTTAATCGATTAAGTTGTACTAGAATCATCGTCGGGAATAATATCTTGCTCTTTCTTTTTTATCTCGTAAATAACAACAGCTGGTCATTGCGTGAAACTAGAATTTTATCTTCAAACACGCATTGAGATCCTGGAGATGCGCTGTTCTTCGCATACCTTTCCGACATAATATATTCGACTCGCGCTTACTATGATGTTTTCTTACATTTTCGCTATAGAGGAGCGGATATAAAGAGCATCGTTGCGAAGAAATATTGGACGCTTATGAATAAAGATATTTTCGCGAAAGTATCCTCGATATTTGTTTAAATATCATTTGTTTGTTCTCTTTCGCTCCCTTCTTTTATCTTATTGTAACAACTCAAATTCTTCAGACTCATACAAATCGTCCTCCAGTGTTTCGCGATCGACGAATGGACTCGTTGACGGCAAGAGACCTTCCACGACCTCGATACCATGCTGGAGATCCTTGCCGCTTCCCTCGCAGAACAGAAACATTGGATAGTTCGTCTTCTGATTCGGTATCACAAACTGTAATATGTTAACCTTGAGATCTCTTTCCCGTTACGCTTGATACCTTGTTATCTTTTCTTGTAAAATTAAATATAAACTCTACCTTATCTCTTTATTTATCTTGTTCTTATAGATGGCTTTATTCGACTTATTTTCTATCTTTAAAACATTATGACTCACATCAAGAAGAGATATCGGGATCTTATCTTATTTGCTGTACTAAATTGCATTTGAACAATCATATTAGGATTAAAAATGTGCACACTTACTCGTTGAATCGTTTCCATAAAGTCGGTGAGCGCCTCCTTATTGGGAAAGTAGAAGCCTACGCAACAACTAGGATCCATTTTTGAGAGCAACATCTTTCTTGGCGACGTGCAATGGAAGCTTGTCAATGAAAAATCATTTTTCCACACATCTACGGTCTCCTGTATGAGTAAGTGAACGAGTGAATGAGCAAGCAAGTAAATAATATCCAATGTATTCTAGGATAAAATGTTTTCCGAGCAATTGATAAAGTGTGCTAAAAAAGAAATACAAATAATATAATTACAGAATGATTCAATATGATAAATATATGATATTTGAAGTATAAATTGAACGATACAAAATAAAAAATAATTAAATTTAAAAAAATTTAAAGATAATTAAGTGCAAAAAAATTTAAAGATAACTTTAGCGATTTAGAGATAACATTAAAATTGTATTTAAATATCCAAACATTAAAGTGTGATATTTATAAAGCAATATTTTAATTTGAAAGATTGAAAATTACCTGACAATAATGCGGATCTAAATGAATCAATTTATCGTCCTGATAGCCAATAAAATAGAGCGAGTGTCGCGGTCTACCGCCAATCACGCCGATGCACGTATCCAAGGTTAGCAACGATGTTAGACAGGGTGCGTAGACGGGATTCAACTTGTCAGCGCCAAGTCGTAGAGGCACCAATAGCACCAGCGCCTTCCATTTACCATCAGGAGTGCGACAAATATTCTCGACGTCTTGTAGATACACTGGAAAATGTTTAATTTAATCGTTAGTTAATTTGATACAGCATTTTTCTATTAAATTTGACATAATGTAAAATTGATATTAATATTTTGCAAAACGAATGTGTTTTTATTACATTTTATATATAGTATTTTCTTGATTAATGCCAACCTGCACAATCCTGAGCAACGTATACCGCCAAGTGATCGAAGTTGCTATTGGATTGCTTGCTGGCGCATTCCACAGCTTGACTCAAGAGATGCGCGACCGAGGAAGGGCCATACCAGTCACCCGCGCGTTTTCCCGCAGAGGCACCCAATAGTACCAGCCTATGTATGGAAAACGGAGATTCTGATTGATCGCCGAACCATTTGATAATCATTCGATGATTGCGGTCGTCCAGCCTCTGTTGAAGAGTCTCGATCGGTTGTTCCGGCCGCCATCTCCATTCTAGAATCAGAAAGTTATTTAGCTCCATATAATACAATAACAGTCAGATTGCAAGCTATTTGTTGTACTTATCGAATAAAATTGAGAAATAAAAAATCTATCAAAAGAATAACAGAATTTAAAATTCATAATAACCCTTATTTATAATAATATAATTTAATTGGTTTTCATTTTATTTTTTAATTTGATCTTTTTAAATTATATAAAAGAAGTTATTTCTGATAGATTTGATTGATGAAATAAGTTTTAAAAGTAAGAATAATCACCTCGTCCGAGGAAATGACAAACCAACGCTTGCGCTAGCATCATTTGTCCACTGCGCAACATGCAGCCCCAGCCGCAGTCTGTGGTGAAAGTGGAGCCATTCAATATCTGAAATTCTCGCCTGTACGTTAACCAGATACGCGATACAAAGTCTCTCTTAAATTCCTCTATCGTGTTCTCGAAATTGGTGGCGTCCATCGCCAAGGAAACCTGACTCCCTGTTCCAACTGGCTCTAGAGCTTCCGACGCCCTTTCCAAAGGATCCTCCGATTTTTTCAGATAACATTGACCCAGTAACCATACTGGAGATTCCTTAGAGAAGTTTGTCTTTATCTTCACAGTCCACCCTTTATTACAAAAAGAGAGTTTTTATATTAGAACTTTTATGTTATAAGAAAATTTATATATATTATATATAAATTACTTTACTTATATATAAATTATTATAATTAATATTACAATCTAATCTGTCTTTCTTTAATATAAGATTATTATTATAATTTTATTATTATAATATAATGTTTTAAAATGTAACAAAGCTTGAAATATAAAAATGCTGACATAACATCCTTTATTGTGTCTGATCAAACATACAAACCATATTTAACATTGTTCCACATGGAGAGCAATTTAGTCTTGACTTTGCTGTCGACCTCCGTAGCTGCCATAGTGTCGTCCAATGGTATCTCGGATGGTCCGAAACTTCGGTCCGTGATGGGAATTTGCATAGCCGGTACACGGTCTGGGATCATCCCGGAAAATAATCCGAAACTCGGACCGAAACCACCTAAGGCACAACATCCGGTGTTTATATTAATATTCTATGCCTGATATCTTCAATATTGTTATCTTGAGATAAAGACAAAATTATTTTACTTAATACCTTAAAGAAAAATAAATTTTGATATCCTAACGAGAGATAGTAATTTATAATTTTGTAATAATTAATTAATAGTGGTATAATAGTATTAATAGTGATGATAATATTATAATTTGCACAATAATATTTTACTATATATTACTATACTATTTACTATATATATGATTTTATTTTTAAAAATGCTAGTTTGTATATATTAACTTTCTACATATTAGAGTTATCCTCTACTAATTCTTTTAATTTCTCTTCTCTAATTATATTTAATACTGTTATCTTTATTTTATATGAATATTATTCTATATTTTATATGAATATTATTCTATAAATATTATTCTATATTTTATATGAATATTATTCTATAAATTTTTTATTTTTTATATATATCATTTTATTAATGTTATTATTATTCTGTGTGTTAACACCTGGCCTTATGATTCAAATAATCCAAATAAATGGCTCTGAAATTAGCATTAACAGACTGTTACAACACGTAAATCATCAAAGTAAATAAATTAAAAATTCTGCCTATTGCCTTTCCTGCATTCTTATCTTATTTGCAAAGCACTTAGCATGTAACTGTATCGAAGTATAAGTGTCAGTGGGTTATTTAGCTCGCAATACTATTAACAAGGAGTGAATATTTCAACACACAAAACAATGATAAAAACAGTTAATATTAGTAGGCAAATTTACCTCTTCTTTTAGACAAAGAGCACACATTCCTTACTTTTTAAAGGAAAGAAAGAGGAAGGCAAAGGCGATACTGAGATCTAGTAAAGAGCTAGATATTCATATAAAAAAAATGTGACAGTGGAATTTATCCATTAATATTCCGACTATAACATGCAACTAATTAACTTCTAATTTCAGTTTTCCTTTGTGTTGTCGCAAGTGTGTTTGTACCATACGTCTAAAGAATTTAATTTACACTCATTCCATTTAATCGAATCAATTATCCGTTTGTATCCGTTAATTAATTCCATTGTTTCAAACAAACGTAATAAATTCTGCAAAATAGCCACATGAATAAATTAAAAAAAATAAATAAATAATAATATAAAAATTATAAAAAAATTTCCATAAAACAATGTTATAAAAATTTCCAAGAAAAAAAAGCTGTACCTTGAAAAGCAAGGATGATCAAAGCTTTCACACAATATTCTGTCTTATCGTCGACAATCATCTCCTGACGCTTAATCTTGCAATAAGCATAACATACATTCAAGCACACAACACGCCCTTCTCGTTGAACTTTTGCATCCAGAATAGGGCAAGCATAAGACACCCGAGGCTGTCGGCGGTGGACAGAGAGGAAGCTGGGAGAAAAGATACAGAAATATCGCGACCGAAGCGGCGAAGACCAACTGCCAAAATCGGGGTAAACAGCGTGACGTTTGCTCACCTAACCTCTCCCGCGACGAATGCACCTGGCCGTTCATGCTCGAGGATAGAAGCGATGGATGCGTCGAACCGGAGAATCGCGGGGACGACGCTCCGCGGTATCTCGTTGATGAAAGGACACGTGCGATCGAGGACGAGCGATATATTACATCTTCCCGACCGAGGTCGACCCGCCGCGCGCGCTGCCGATTGATTCTACGAGACGCCAGCAACAGCGTCAGACGTCAAACGCGCTTGCACGCTGAAATTTCCCATTGGTTCCGCCATCGCCGGTCGAAAGAGCGTCGGCCAATCAGCGATCAGGCCGGGATGCGGAATTTAACGCCGCAGAGGCCTATCTAGGTCGAACGGGACAATCGCGGGACGCGCGTGTGCGTGTCGCGCGGTGCGGCCGGCCGCGCATGCGCGTCGGTTGCGCGGCGCGCGGTGTAGCCGGACGCGTTTTTTTCGAGCAATCTCGCTAATGTTATCTTGCAAAATCACAGCGGGAGCGACGATAAGACGAATGCGGATTAAGAGGCGATCGACTCTTCGAGGAACCTGATGGGAGGAACGTTGATCACGTCTCCATCGTCGCGTTGCGTCCAATTCAAAGCGTTGAATGGTCGAGGTTGAGATAGCTCGTCGAGCTGCGAATGCGATGCATCGAAACTAATCGATCAGGAGGTATTCTTTATTTTTTTTTAAATAAAATGTTTTAAGACGAATTATTTTCACTTTAAGAGACACGGGAAGTTTAATTGATTTTTTTATTACACAAAATCCACACAGCATGCATATCTAAAAGACACCCAGAAGATATCCTGGAGATATCTTTGGGCGATTGGACATCTTGAAGATGTCCTCTGAATGTTTTTTGAACATGGATGCTGTGTGGGAATGTACGATGTTGGTCTTTTCATTTATTCTATAGAATATTATTTTAAAAACTCATACAGCACAGAATGTTGTAGTTACCCAGGTAGAACATGAAACTCATAATGACATCATTATGACGTCATCATGATTTTATGTATCACTTAAAAGTTACAAAAATGAGTGAAAGATGACAAAAAGAATCATAAATTTTTAAGTTCAATAATCGCATTATATAATTTTAAAAAGATTATGTTGCTTAAATATAATTAAAATATACATGAATAATTAAATAAACAAGCAATTGCGATAATATATATATATATATATATATATATATATATATATATATATAAAATGATATTAATAAGTTACCAAACATTGCTAAAAGTATATCAAATGAGATCATTATGATTTTTCTAAAAACTTTTAGGTGAAGTTTAGGTGACGTCATAATAATGTCATTATGAGTTTCATGTTCTACCTGGGAATATTACGGCAATATTGCAATGTTGCTGCAATGTTACAACAATATTAATAATATTGCTGCAATATTCTGTGCTGTATGGGAAAATAATAATATCCCAGCAAACACCAAATAACAGTTATATAACTGTTAATTATAATTTCCCACTCAACAATATAACTGATACATGTTATATAACAGTTATATTGTTGAGTGGGAAATTATAACTAACAATTATATAAATGTTACTTGGTGTTTGCTGGGATAGATGATTTTATAGCAAACAATAATATCTATATATCTATAAAATAATTTTATAGAATATATAGATATATTCTATAAAATAATTTATACACAAAATATTCTCTTCCCTCCTTCCTCTCTCTCTCTCTCTCTCTCTCTCTCTCTCTCTCTCTCTCTCTCTCTCTCTTTCTGACCACATTATTTTTTAAATATAATATGTATTATATAAGCATAGAAATATATAATGTGTAAATAATTTCCCATACAGCACAGAACATTGCAGCAATATTATGGCAATATTGCTGCAATATTAGAGTTATATAATTTAGAAATCTATATGACATAATTATTTCGGAAATCTGAGATATTATTTTTGATATACATATCTCACTTTGCATGCAATATAATTATCATTATTGATCGCTGCTATAATATCTCAAAAGATATTATATATATAATTTCATATCGCATGTTTGGATACCGCAATTTTTTTTTACGATATTTCGTATGATTCGCATTCGAAATAAATTCCCGCGGTGCAATCATGCGATTCTATTTGCCTACATTTGTTCTTGCCTACATTTGTTTAAACTAATTTTTTTTTCTTATTATCAGAGCGAGGCACACAATGCAACTTGGACGTTATCTTATCGGTCAACACACGCATGGACGACTTATTGGCATCTCAAGGCGAATTCGCGAAGATGAGTCGAGACACCTGGGTACGTCGCTGTTTACACATTTTTTCTCTCCTGGAAAAAGAAGAAACTCGTTCGAAGAAACCGATGTCGTGCGATCGCGCGATATCTCCTGTGCTCGCTGTTATAGAAACGAAAATCAATAACAAGATCGTCCCATTTATTCGACCCACGTTCTCGCATCTCTCTCCCTCTCTCCCGATTCAATTCTCTCGTTCTAAAAAGATAATCAGATATCTCGGGAGTATAAAAATCCACTGCTAGACTGCTCACGATTCAACTCCACGTGTGCCAGGATCAATGATCCCGAGACAAAGGAGCAGGATTGAGAGATCGCGATGCAACTTATCGTACCTAATTCAAAGTTAAAACAAAATTCACGATCAAGCGTCTTTATATCTTTTTAAAAAAAAATAATCAATATGTTATTCTTCATCATTTAATGTGTAATAATTAATTTTTTATGTTATTTGCGTCGTTCTTCAACGCTCGTGGCGTTATTTGCCTTTTGTTAAAGTTTTTTATGATTAAAACAAAATGTCAGTTTTCGCTTTAAAGTGAAAATTTTCCTAAAATGTAATTTTCTTCAGTTTTCGCTTTAAAGTGAAAATTTTCCTAAAATGTAAATTTCTCTCTTTAAAATTATCCTCTTTATTTAGGGAAGATAATTTGAAAGATAATTTCGCGGGTCGATTATATAGATTATATCCTGCATCGGGTATAAAATTGGTCGCAAAGTCGCGACTTTGGCGGTTCAGAAATCGATCGACGCAAACGCTTAAAACGGATCTATCTTTCGTGGAACAAACGACGGCGACACTCGCAATAATTATACGACGAGAAGCGATTAATAATCAATGAGTGATATTGATCAATTTGAAGACACGGATTAAGAACAATATCGCGATGTAGGTCGACGGCTTAATTATCAGGGGTTTTTTTTTATTTTCCTAGAATCGATGATGGTTCTCGCGACAAATCGGAATTCTCCGATCTCGATTAAATCCCTGAAGGGTCAATATTGATGCTCGGCACGTATATCACGTGTCTCGGACATGAAAACATATCCCCCTAACAGTTAAACGGATCTCCAGCGAAACATTTAATATAGTGAATTTATAATAAAATATAATTTTTTACAACGCGTTAATAATAAAAAAATATTAAAATATAGAAAAAAGATTTCTCTCCTTTTTTTTATCTCTCTCGTATAAGAGAAAAAAAAGCAACGCGAGGAAAATTATTCTCTCCTCTTCTCTTCGGTAAAGTCTTTGCGATAAATTTTTATGAATTTTTTTTATCGATATTCCTAGTATCGAAAGCTCTTAATAGAATTAACAACGCTTAACGCGGGAAATAAATCGCGACAGGAAACAGATACGCGATAGAACGTGATTGAATCGTCGATTACGCGAATCGCGCTCGAGTACGAATCAATGTTTCCGGATAATAATAATAATAATAATAATCGCAGTTTTTAAGTTATATAAGCGATAGCGACTCGTTTGTCTTTGATTGCGCGAATCTAGCGCGAATAATATACCCCAGGTAGAACATGAAACTCATAATGACATTATTATGACGTCACCTAAAAGTCATCTTAGAAAAATCATAATGATCTCATTTGATAGACTTTTGGCAATTTTGGTAACTTATTTTTGATATTAAACAATTCTAGCGAACTCGATCTGTTGGAGAATATATATACTTCGCGTATGAAATCTTAAGAATCAATCATAATAATATCATTTTTTATATATATTACGCAATTACTTGTTTGTTTAATTATTCATGTATATTTTAATTATATTTAAGCAACATAATCTTTTCAAAATTATATAATACGATTATTGAACTTAAAAATTTATGATTCTTTTTGTCATCTTTAACTCATTTTTTAATCATTTTTGTTTAGGTAATTTTTAAATAAATAAAATCATGATGATGTCATAATGATGTTATTATGAGTTTCATATGTTTATTTCGCGGGATGCAAGAGAGACGATTGTCTAAAATTAAAATTGATTCGAGAACGTAACATAGGACACACACACACACACATATGAAGTACGAGATAAACGTCATTCTTCTTTCTTCGATATTCCATGTTGCGACGCAATCCTAATTATGGCGCGCGCCGTCGATATTTTCTCGCGACCTAATTCCGGTTCCGGCTAAAAGTATTATATCTGTACGTGACGTATCAGTAAGGAACACGTAACATGATAAGTTACACGATTGTACGTCGCCTAAGAATAGGGATCTATTCATCCTCTCTCTCTCTCTCTCTCTCTCTCTCTCTCTCTCTCTCTCTCTCTCTCTCTCTCTCTCTCTCTCTCTTTCTTTCTCCGAGGTTTCGTAATAAAACCGGAAAATCAGGATAGGATGAAGAGATTTGCGTAACGGCGTCTCGCGATATGCGTTTTCTTTGCATCCGCATTAAGTGAAATAGCTTCGTGCCCCGAGCCAAGAGAGCTTTACATGTCAGAGCTTCCTCTCTCTCTCTCTCTTTCTCTATTTCTATGGGTCTATTGTCGTATTTGCCCCGCCGTTTCATTTCCTACCGTCAATCTTCCTCTGTATAATCCCTCGCGAGCCCCGATTCGTGTTTCGCAACAGAAGCTCCTCGCAACGGCCTCGGAAATTTCGGACGCGCTAAACATCCTGATACGGATGACATCCCGTAAAAGGTTCGATCTCTGATTT